TCTGCAGCTGTGGTGAACTCGAGTGTGGCGGGGTGGGGGGTGTGTGAGTGGAATAATGGGCTAATTTGGAGTAAGCATGTTGTGATGCAATGGAATGTATCTTTATTGATATCCATATTTAATCTTTTATTTTCTTCATCTGTAAAAAAAATCAGTTAAAAGTGATGACTTAGAAAGTTTTATGTTTTGATTTAAGCAAAATCATTTTTTCCCCAAATGAAAAGTGATATGAAATTCAACTGTGAAAAACAGATGAAAGCAGAGCAGCTTAGTGAGAATAGATATGAATGTGGGCATATCTAGAATCCACTCTGTTGATTTCATCTCCACCACAAAATGACAAATGAATTAACTTCATGAGACACAGTTAGAAAAACATAGTTCTGTCTAATTCCTAATTCACTTTAGTTCTGCCACGTATATGTTAATTTAGGTCTGCAATTATTTCTGACTTTTTTTTAAAGATTTATTTATTTATGCATACAAGAGCTGGGGTACAGGCCAGAGGTACAGGGGGGTGAGAGGATTCACCAGAGACAGAGTGGGGAACAGAACAGGCAGACTGAAACACACTGCTGAGGGGTGAGATAGGAGAGGTCTGCTGTGCCATGTGGGTTGCTCCCTGGCTGGCCGGGGATGGAACTCGTGTTGCAGAGGCTGTGGATTGCTTCATAGTGCTGTGTTTAACCCCTTGTGCCACCAGGGAAGCCCCATATTTCTGACTATTTTTAAAGAAAGATATTTCTGTGTCTTAGTTAATGGGTCATTTAAAGCAGTACTCAATATATTATAGGTGATTTGGTTGTGGACACACTACTGTGGCAAGACCTGATGTCCTTATGTCACCTCAGTTAAAAATAAATACATTTAAAAAAAATCTAAATGTAAAAAAAAGATTTGAACAATACTCTAAGCTCACCACAGTGGTATTTGGTGAGGAAACATTACTGTGGAAGATTAGGTGTTTAGTACAGCACATTAAAAAATATAATGAGCAAAGCATTTAAGGATATTGTTATGCTTCATTTGTGATGAAAAACCACTTGTTAACTCAGTGAATGCTATGCCATGACAGCAAGTATTTCCTTACAAAGAATACACACTTTCCTGCAAATATTGAAAAGTCTCTGCCAGATATTTGCTAAAGAAAAATAGTATCAATCCCTCAAACATGTGAAACATATGAAATTCAATATGCATCTTATTCACAGAAAACTCCCAGCGTTGATGATAGAAGTGTAAGTTGAACTAATGAACAAATTTGATCAGACCCCCTCAGACTATGGAGATGGTGAAACAACTCAACACCAATGTGATTAGAGAGTGTAGTGCAAGAAGTGGTGAAACAGAATCTTTCTTTTGGCAATTATCCTTAGAAAACTGACCCTCAGAGCAGATTGCTTGGGTGGCACAGCCACGCAGATGTAGTCAGACCTTTTGGTGTCAGCAGCACGGCCCTTTCACAGCTGCCCCACTGCAGTATGGCCTCCTTTCTTCTGTTCTCCTTAAAAGGCCAAATTTGGCCACCCACTCTCACCATTTTCTTAAATTTTAATCCATGGTTGTTGTTTTTTTTAAGTGTTGTAGAACGATATCATGTTTCCTTTTATTAGTCCAAAAAGAATGAGAGAAAATGGGGGTCTTCCTGGTGGTGTTAAGTCAGGGCACTATCACCTTGACAACCTGGGTTCGATCCCAGGCCAGGGAGCTGGCCCACATGTGGCGCAGGAGTCCTCTGCTGTTTCTTCCGCTGCTCCTCTCAGCAGTGTGTTTAAGTAGAACTGCCTGTTTTCCCTTCCCCCGCTCCCCGCACCTCTGGCCTACATCCCAGTTCCTGTATGCATAAATAAATCTTTTAAAAAATACAAAATGATACTTTCAAAAAAAATGAGAGAAAATGCATTATTTGGTTGCAATCCAAGGAGATTTGGAGTGGGTGTAGGGATATGGGTAAGAGACATGCATATTTCTATGACACTTGGTTTCCCTTCCAAATTCACCTTTCAAAGGGAAGGGCGATGACATTTACTTTTTTACATTTAATTTTTATGTGCAGTAATATTTAAATGATTCAAAAATCAGTAGACATAAGTATACAGTGAAAAGTCTTCCTCCCATCATTAGCCCCTACTACCAAGTTCTCCTCCAGGTCATCCTTGCTCTTATTTCAACTATCACCTTCCAGAAATTCCTTATATATATATATATATATATATATATATATATATATATATATATATTTTAAAGATTTATTTATTTATACAAGCACTAGGTACAGTCAGAAGTGCGGGAGGGTGAGAGAATTCACCAGAGCCAGAGCAGGGAACAGAACAGGCAGACTGACGAAATACACTGCTGAGGGAGCAGCTGGCATGGCAGGCAAGGTCTGTGCACCATGTGGGACCCTTGCTGTGGCCAGGGATCGAACCAGCGCTGCAGAGGCTGTGGGCAGCTTCGCAGCCCAGTGCTCAACTGCTGTGCCACCAGGGGAGGCCCCAGAAATTCCTTATATACAAAGAAATACAGGAAGAATTCCTGTTTTGGAAAACTAAGCAGATGATTTTTAAGATCTATCCTAGGAACCTGGTAGGTATGTCTTCTTATAGCCCTGACTCATATACAAAGTCCATCTGACATTTTTACTGTAAATGACATCACCAAAGACAGAGAACTATAAATGGCATGCTGACTAAGGATTGCAAAGTAAAGTCATGTCCAGATGCTCAGAGTACACAATTTTTATATCACGGAGAGGAAAGGGAGAGAAGTGAGAGGAACAAATTGAAAAAGCAACCAGATCTATACCTAGGAACAATCACAGATGAAGCATGATTGTCTTTTCAAATCAACTGCATTTTTTATTATTTCCTAAAGTCATTAAATGGCCAGGGCCGGTGTAGTTCAGTGAGTTCAGAGTAGATCCCTTGGTTTTGGCAAGTCACTCAACTGGCCCTAGAAATGGGATTGGATTGAACTGGAGCTGAAAGAATTATAGTGTTTCCTTCCTGCTGATGACTCTCTCTGGGAACATGCCTGGAATGACTGAATGTGGGAGGAAGGGCCACATATGCATGGGGTGGGAGCGCTGTGCACCCATGTTATTTTTGGAGGCTGTAATTTCACTGTTAGATTTCCTCGCTCATCCCCTGTGATAATGTTTTTCTTATCCTAAGCTCTAGGATAAGACCCTCTGTACAGGACTTAAAGTTCCCCATGAGGCTAGAGTCAGATATTTTATTTAGGGTCAGACTTGGAAACTCATTCTGGGCAAGATTTCCTCTGTTGATGCCATGTACTGAATTGCCATTATAAGAAAAAAAAAATGTGGGGCCTCCCTGGTGGTGCAGGCAGTTGAGTGCAGCCCTGTGAGGATGTCCGCAGCCGCTGCAGTGCGGGTTTGGTCCCAGCTGGCCAGGGAGCAACCCACATGGCGCGTCAGACCTCTCCTGTCTCGCCCACTGCTCCCCTCAGTGGTGTATTTCAGTCAGTCTGCCTGTTCTGGTCCCCGCTCTGTCTCTGGTGAATCCTCTCATCCTCCTGCACCTCTGGCCTGTACCCCAGTTCTTGTATGCATGAATAAATAAATCTTTAAAAAAATGTAACTCCCACTTACATTAGAACTTACCTTTAAAATTCTTCTAGTGTATCAGATAAAAATGTAGCTTCTGGTAGGATCATCCTCAGAATATCCCTGTATTCATCAAGCATTGGCAGTGCTATTAACAACAAATTCTATAACCATCATTGGAGTCAAGAACATACTCCATCCACATTCAGCAAGGAGAGAGAATAGGCAGATTTCATGTGCTCATCTTAGAAAATGGAAATCAGAGAGAGAGAGAGAGAGAGAGAGAGAGAGAGAGAAATATAAAGAGATACTGAGAAATTTAAATGAGGATTTTCTTTTTTAAAATGTTCTTTATAATTTATGGATGCATTTTAAAGTCCAAGTGGAATTTTGTTTTTACATTAAAGAGGATTGAGATTTGTGGCTTGATTCTTAGGAAACAGTTAAGGGAGATGAAACAATGGTTATTAACTCTCCCATATATAGCAGACACAGTACTTGGCAAGTTACATACTTTATCTCACTTAATCCTCATAAGAAACCCACGAGGAAGGCCTTAGATTGTCTTACTCATTTTAAAGATGAGCTCAAAGTGAAATGCAGATTCACTCAGTCCTTTTCTCATTTTATATAATATAATTTGGAATTGGCAATTTTTTGATTATGACTAGTCTCTAAAGTTAGCATACAATGTCTGCATTTCATTAGAATATCTTATAATCTGGTAGTACCTACCATGTTTTCATTAACTGATGAATAAGTAATGATAATAATTAATGGTAATTACTAATCAGTAAAATTAATAACAATGCCATTGTCATGAATTTGTTCACTGGATGACTGTCTCAGGCACTATACTGGGTAGAGATAATGTATGACTTGTTCTGGAACAGAGAAAAATGATAGTTGACCACAGCAAGGGTGCACAGTAGTTAGTAGGGATTAGGTGATAAAGGGTGTTGATGCCATGGCAAAGAGTTTTGGGTCTGGAAAGAGAGGCACATGATATGAGCAGTATTTTATTTTATTTTATTTTTTAATTTAAAAAATTTATCTATTTATGAATATAAGAGCTGGGGTGTAGGCCAAAGATGCTGGGGGTGGGGGGTGGCGGTGGTGAGAGGATTCACCAGAGACAGGGGAGTAGAACAGGCAGATCCACTGAAATACACTGCTGGGGGGAGCAGCAGGCAAGACAGGAGAAGTCTGCTGTGCCATGTGGATCACTTCCCTGACCTAGGATCGAACTTGTGCTGCAGTGTCTGCCATAGCTTCATAGTGCTGAGACTTAACCCCTTGCACCACCAGGAAGGTCCAAGAGCAGCATTTTAGAAAGTCTGTCCACACAACTATTTTTAGACCAGATTTTCTAAGCATATTTACCCTGTTGGGCCAATTTTAATCATACATTTTGTTTCTTCTTTCCTTTTAGGAACAGTGGATGGTGCCATGGACCTGATCTTGATCAATTCCCTACCTCTTGTGTCTGATGCTGAGACATCCCTCACCTGCATTGCCTCTGGATGGCACCCCCATGAGCCCATCACCATAGGAAGGGACTTCGAAGCCTTAATGAACCAGCACCAAGAACCACTGGAAGTAACTCAAGATGTGACCAGAGAATGGGCTAAAAAGGTTGTCTGGAAGAGAGAGAAGGCCAGTAAAATCAATGGTGCTTACTTCTGTGAAGGGCGGGTTCGTGGAGAGGCAATAAGGATAAGGACCATGAAGATGCGCCAACAAGGTAGTGTGCCCTTACTTGTGGGCAGGTGAGGTCCCCCGAGATACATACATGCACCTTCTGTTTCAACAATTACTCACTCAGGCTGGGCATGAGCTGCTGAGTGTGGAGCTTGCAGACCTGTCTTTCTCTTTTTCAAGAATTGCTGTGTCTGGTGCGTGGAGATCAGTGCCAGCCAGTTCCCTCCCACACAATCCCATTCACTAGGCCTTGTGCCTAGTCCATAAGAGGGAATGAAATAAATATTTTACCCGGGGCTCCTTGGTCCTTGTGGTGATATGAACATGTTACATGTTCACGGCAATGAAGATGACTAGCTATCGCCAAACTTGTGAGTGTTTTGAATTTTCACATTCATTTTTTACATTATTTGTTCTGCTTGCCCTTGAGCATTCTTAACAGAAGTCAATATTTTCGGGGGAAACTATGGCAGAAGTGAACCATTAATTTTTTTTTAAATAGAAAAAAATTTAAAAATTAACTAGGGCAAAAATGAAAAATAAATAAATAACTGGATTTAATTGGCTACTTGCTGTATCAGTTATCTGCTGCTGCAGTAATGCTGTGGAACACACAACCACATACATGGTTTACAACAATACATATTTATGCTCGGGGCCTATGTCCGCTGGTATGATTAGGTGGCTCTGCTGATCGTTCTTGGGTTTTCTTATATGTACTGCTGGTGGCTTTTTAGGCTGGCTTTGCCTGGCACAAACTGGCTTCATTTCATGTGTCTAGCATAATTTAGCGAGTTAACCTAGGTAGGTTCTCATGGAATTGGCAGAGGTGCAAGAGAACATAGGGAAACACATGAGATTTCTTGACACTAGTTCAGTTTTGTATCCTCTCACTTCTGCCTCATTGTATTGCCCAAACAAGTCAAACAGCTGAGTCTAAAGTCAGCATGGGAAAGTGCTAGAAACTTGAATAGCAGAGTGTGATACAGGGACAATGAAAATTTGGGGTCTTTTTGCATGCTACCATTCTTGGAAAGAGACTGTGACTTAATTTTAGCAGGTGAGTAACCAGGCCCAGTTCACAGAACTCCAGAACTCCCCTCATGCAGGAGAATGCTGTCTTCTGCAAGGGAGGAGTGGTATTCTTGGCTATAATCTCATAAGGCCTTTCTCCCAAAACAGAACTGGAAGCTACTCTAACTTTGGTCTAGCCCAGCAAACTAGTGCATTTGGAGGAGATGGCATTGCAAATATTATTTAACCATTCTCTTCTGCCCTGAGTCTCCCAGGCCTGGATAGGCAGGTAGACTTGTGGTGCTCTTGATGCTACCCACTGGGAGGAAGATACAGAATTCCAGCAGAAAAGACTTCTTTCTCGGACTGGAACAATCTGGTCCTTCATCTATTAGCCCCTTTCTCTGGGCTGCTTTTACCTGAAATGTCCTTGCCAAATTGATACCATAATTACAGGGAAATGTGAAGGAGTATGTTATTTCACTGGATAATAACATTGGGAGCTCTTCAGAGTTTGGTTTTTAATTATTAAACTGATCTAGAGGAGTATAACACCCCTCTGTATGCTTCTCTGATTGGAAGCTCTGATGTAAGCTTCTGCAGAGGTTTTTTTTTTTTGGTTTTTTTTTTAAGGATCTGTGCTTCTCAAAGTTGAAATTACATATAAATCATATGTGGGTCTTGTAAAAATGTACACTGATTCAGTAAGTCCTTAGGGAGAATCCTGAGAGTCCACATTTCTAACAGGGTGCCAGGTGATGTGGTGCAGCTGGACTTTGGCTCACACTTTGAGTAGCAAGGGTTTAGAGTTGGTCTCCAGCTGGGATCCACCTGAAAACATTTCTTTAAATTTACTGGTGGTGGTAATAAAAAGATGTGAAGGCTGCTACCTCATTTGAAGGTTAAAAATGATAACATCACTATTCTTTTCAAATGAAAGAAAGGGTTTTCTTAGCAAAACTGTAATGTTCACCTTTAAATGACACCAGGGCGAGTGGGAAAAGAGCGCAACAGAAATTCCCAGGAATGTAGCTCTCCAGTGAGGGAAGAGGGGTTGAGTGAAGGGATGTGAGGTGTGCCAAAGCTATCAGGGCCGAAAATCAGCTCTATTTTTTTTACATGTGTCATTCGGATTTTGACTTGTTTGAAGAGTTACGTCCTTCTGCTGCTACTTCTACATCCTGAATGAGATGGTTTGAGATTTGTACCCCAGTGGTTTCAGGGATGAAATGTGAAGTGTCGCCATGTACTTTCTGGCTTTGAGATTGTCTTTGATGATGAATAAATAAGAATCTGTGGCGCATATCCAACCAGGACATTGGGAGTCAAACCCAACCGTAACAATCCCTCCGAACTGGCAGTCCAGGTCAGGACAAATAAAGGATAGCTGAAATTCAGCTCTGTAAGGCAAAGTTAGGCTTGGATAGTGAATGTGGAGAGAATACAACTTTTAGACTCTTAGTTAACTGCATTTTAATTCTTGCTTCGCTTAACAGCTGTATGGCCCTAGATAAATTATTTAATTTTATGAGTCTCATTTTTCATCATCTGTCCAACAGGCTTAACAATACCTTCAAATTGTCTAAAGTTTTTTTTTCAGTTGTATTTAGCATTAAATAACATGCTACATGCAAAAAACATCAGTTCCCATGAATGCATTTAAAATAAGAATTGATTGATACAATGATGTGTTCCTGCTGTGTAAAGTGAGGCATTGCAGAATAAGTGATGTGATAAGAGAACAGCATTTTGTAAATGGTAGGAATGGTGCCATAGACTCTGAATTCAGTCCATCTATTTATGACCACTGTGTTAATCATCCCCTACTTTCTGAGCACTTAAAACCCTCAAAATCAACCCAGGGCGCAGAGTAGAGTTATGGAGTGGAAGTCAGCTGACTTGGGTTCAAGTCTAACTCTGCAACTGAATGGTAACTTCATTGAAAGTTACTTAACTGAAAGCAGTTTTTTTCCATTAAAAAATGGAATAGAGATTTCTCTACATTTCAGAATCAAATGAGCCACTTAAAAAGATCACCTTCATTGTCTGGCTCTCATTAAATGTTCAGTAGTTATTATTATGGTGTCTTGGAGTAAGTCATAATTCAGTGGGACTATTCATTTTCCTACTCAGTCATGAAAATTTTTAATATCACCTACTAACATAGTTGCGGAGGTTTATACAAAATAGAATAGGCATCGCTTTCTCTCCTATACTTTAATAATAATTACTTGGGCTGTTGAATTGGTTGTCTTTATTATGCTTACCATTAAATAACTGAAATATGATGGGAAGAGAGCAATGTTCTTTATGATGAATCAGGAAAATCGCCAACGCTATGGCTTCATGTCGTTATTCATTCCCTAGTAAAACATCATGGGAACTCAGAAGTGCCTGCCCAGGGCCACAGCAGGATAGGATAAACATCAATATATTCCTGCTTGCTGCTGACTCGTGCATCTGTGGAGGAAGTGGAAAATCCATTTGAGATGTGCCAAAACCCAGCTTAAGTTGGCTCATGGACTCTAAATAGCCAAACTGTTTTTATCAATGGCATCATCCAAAAAAATTCATCAGCACTTGATTCAAACCAAACTGACAATTTCGTTTGGGGATAGGGAGTTCTACATGAAGTTTGAAACATTTTCACGTCCAAAAATCTGCTTGAGAATGCGCCACTGGAGGACAAGTAGTTTATTTTCTTCCTATTTTCATTTGAAAAATAGCTTTACCTTAAGAATATCAAACTTCTCAACCATGATTTATGAAGTTGGTAGTGAGGAACCATTTGTATGTAAATAACATGTGAAAGCATGATGCAGATAGGAAAATTTGAAATCAGATTCATTCATTCTTTCATTCCACAAATATTCTTAATCCTCTGTGCTATATGCTGGAGTTGCAATGAGGTTAGCAGTTTCCGACTACTTATTATGTCCCTAACATTTCGCTGGCAGTTTTATTACTATATAAGTCAGTCTTTAACAAATGCATACCTGGTGAGGACTATTATTACTCTATATTAACAGATGAGGCGCAAAGCTATTTGTAACCTGTAAGCCTTTAGGCACCTGGTTCCCAGAGGTGGTCGTGAGATGATGAACTCAGGCCTCATCCCAGGGGCTGGGCACTGACCACTACCCTGTGCTGCCTTGCAAAACAGATGTGAACTGCCTACTGGAACACTCAGCCTGGTAGGAGAGATACATGGGAAGTAGGCCTGTGATGGCCAAGCACAGGGTGCAGCTATGGGCGATTCCAGGGGCTGATTAAGGTCCCTGGAGGAAGTGACAGCTAAGTGGAGATTGATGCGTGGATAGGAGTTGGTGAAGCATAAAGGAAAAGTAGGAGCAGAAGAGCAGGAAGGAAGTTTATGACTAGAATATGAGTGTTCGTGTCATCTGTCTGGGGGACTGAATATAGTTCAGAATGACTGGAATTGAGGGCTAAGGATGCAGCCTGGAGGATGACGAGTGTTGTAGAACAAGTGTGGAGGTCTGGAGTTTTGTGTCTTAATTTTCGCATGGTCACTGTTATGAGGCCTTGTGGAAGGATCTTAGTCATCCTTAGCTCCTTCTCCCACATGGATAGACTGGATATACTGTCTGTGCAGTGCTGCTGTGAAATTACACAATTAAAAGTCATAAAAGTACATTATTACATAAAAGTGCATTATTTTACTCATCTATCATTAAATCAAAGTAGACAGCTAAAATTTAGCTCAATTATTTTTCATCCATGAGAAACATCTTTGTAACTTTTACTACAGTCTATTTTCTTCTCTAGCCCTTAAGGAATAAGCGAATTAGTGTTCTTAAGATCTGTCAGTTAATTAGCTCAACCAAATGACCTTGAGCCAATCATCTTATTTATAAAGAGTGAGAAGATAGGACTTTCAAGTTTATTGGTGCTAGCATTACAGAACCTATGAAAATTTCTATAGTTACCTGCTTCAAATCCTAGCTCCCCCATGAAATGGATAGGTTACTTAACCTCTCTGTTCCTTAATCTCCTCATTTGTAAAATTAGGATAATTGTAGTACCTGCCTCGTAGAGGTATTACAAAAATTAAATTTGTGTAAAGTGCTTAGAACCACGCCTGATCCATAGTGGGCACTGTTAAAGGTACTTACTGTTTATATGATCCAGTTAAGTCACGCGACATCAATCTGTGTGTACTGTATACAAGCCAGGCTCCTGTGTTATAGGAACACCCCAAATGCAGCAACACAAAGGTGTGGACCCCTTCCTGGTACTCGGTGGAGAATAATCCATCTAGAGTAGAGACATTAGTGCAGGAGGTAGCAGGCTGGATGGACAGCAGTGGAATCTGGTGTGACTGCGTTGCTACCTAAGAAAACAGGGAGCTTCAAAAGCACCAAGTCTGAAATAATAAAGAGCCACAGAGTGGAGAAAAAGAAAAGCTACATTGGAATTGAGCCTAGTGGGGAATCTTGGTTCCTTTTCAGAACACAATGCTGAGTGAGAAGTCCCACGGTCAGCTAAACAATCTTCACACAAAGGGGCAGAAAATATAAACAAACATAGAAAGGAACAACAGCATGAAACGATCAGAAAAAAATTCTCCCAGGAGCTCAGAAGAGGCCAGGGAGCAAGGCTGCACACATCAGGCCTGCGACAGAAAGTACCTTGTCAGCGCGAGAGGGGGACCCCTAAGCTCCCCCTAGCCTTTGCTAGTCCCCTGCCTGCCTGCCCCGCATGGCTGGCCCATTCTACTAGTGATAATAAAGCTGCCACTTGTGTCCACATTACAAATGTCAGCGCAACCCTGTTGCCATTTATTTATATTTGGGAAGATACCGACCTTTTAAGCAGCTAAGGGGTTGATGTATGTCATTTAATATTCTTAACCTTTCAAGGTAACTACATTTATTTCCAAACTACAGATGATGAAACTGGGCTGTGCAAAGATGAAGTAGCTCACTCATTGTAGTCCAGGAAGTGGCCTCAAACCCAGGACTGTCTTATCCCAGCACTCGGGGTACACCCTTTGATAGACACCATTCTCCTCTGGGTTCCCCGCATGTCGTCATCTGCACCAGAGATGCTTATATGGGAGTTCAGGCCGGGCACCGTTCCTGGGTCAGTAGGCACAGAGAACAGGCAGACAGACTTACAGCCCTACCAGGGTGGATCTCGAAGCCAGTGATGCACATAACACTTGGTCAGCCTCTCTCAAGCCACCCACCTGAAAGCCACCACTTGAGAAGGGAAGCACAGGGACCCCAAGTTCCCCAGCAGGAGTCTCTCTTGTCCTCAGGGCTTGATCCTAGGCTGCAACCCTATAGGGAACAGTGTTTGCTATTGATTTCTAATTTAGAATTTGTCCTACAAGATATATTTTTTAAAGATTTATTTATAAAAGAACTGGGGTATAGGCCAGAGGCGCAGGAGGGTGAGAGAATTCACCAGAGACAGAGCGGGGAGCAGAACAGGCAGGTGGACCAAAAACACTGCTGATGGAAGCAGCGGGTGAGAGAGGAGAGGTCTGTTGAGCCATGTGGGAATCTCCCTGGCCACCAGGAATCAAAATGGTGCTGCAGAAGCTGCGGACAGCTTCTCAGCGCTGTGCTCAACCCGCTGCACCATTGGGGAGGCCCTGTCCTGCAAGATATTATTTGATATTTATGGAGATGTACTTTGTGGCTTAATAGGAAGGCAACAGACTTGAAAATAACATGTGTTCACATAGCTGGGCACCAGGGTTCATGAATATCCAACAGATCTTTTATTATGTTATTTGAATCTGTGTTTTTAGCAATTTCTAGTCTGATTAATACATTTCAAAACTTTCCACTCTACTTGTGGATTTGTCAGTTTCTTCCTTTAATTCTGTCAGTTTTACTTCATGGGTTTTGAACCTGTGAAGATTCAGGACTATTATATCTTCCTGGTGGATGGATTCATTTTTTATCACCATACAAGACAATCTTTAAATTTCTTTTTCTGATATATTGCAATACCAGCTTCTTTTAGCTAGTATTAGACTGATATTTTTCCATTTCTTGTGTTATGTTTAATGTGTAGTTCATGCAAAAGAACACACACATGCATGTGTGTGTGTGTATGTGCGCACATGAAATTCATTCTGAGATTCTCTGACTTTTAGCCTATACATATCTGGTATGATTTCTGCTCTTTTATTCTGTATTTTCAGTCTGCCATGATTTTCCTTTGGGGTTTTCCCCTCCTTTTATGTCTTCTGTTTCCCTCTGTTCTTTCTTGCCCTCCATCTTTTTCTTTCCCTTTCCTGATAGCACTTTATATTTTAGAAAACTGGCTTAATTTAATAAAGCCTGAAATCCAATCCCCCTTATTCACATAGTTGTGGCTTTCAGCATATTACGGTATAATTTAAAGGATTTCGGAACATGTTATGCAGTAAACCAGGGAACTCGGGCAACGTTGTATTCCAACCAGACAGAAGACAGACGTTTCCAAAATGGTTTTTATAAGCAGAATATACAGTAAATTTCTCACTTTCCAACTAGTACTATCCAGACCCATGACTATGTGAGTTTACATATAGAAACTTAAAAGATAGAAGGCAATATATTGGATTCCATCATTGCTTTATACTTAAATATTTCAGTATTCACACAACTTGTAATATGTCCAGCATTGTGCTGATTCCATTTGAGAAATGCTGGGGCATTCTAAAGCAATTAGAAGTGTTTGGAGCAACTTAAAAGGATTGAGGAAAAAGTCATTTGGCAAATATCTGGGCATTCATATTCTTTTCCACTTTGAGGAAATGTGTGGCAGATATTTAGATAATATATTAATAGTTTATAGTTAATATTAGACCTTGGCTTGATAATAGGTATTAATTAGCACAAAGTCCTCACCTCTAAACCAGTTGCATAGAAAATGTGTATGTGTATAGTGTGTGTGTGTTTACATTCTTACTGAGATGACCATTCCTTTCACTAGATTTTTTAAAAAGTATATATTAAAAGAAAATTTTAAATCCATTAGTTACCACCATTTTTGATATCATAAATCCAGCAGATTCCCAACATGTGCCTCAGTCCTTATCTTCTGAAATTTAAAGATTAGTTGTTCTTGGAGAATGTTTGACTTCATTTTCGGTATTTATTTTCTCTCTCTCTTTCAAAAGCTTCCTTCTTACCAGCTACTTTAACTATGACTGTGGACAGGGGAGATAATGTGAACATATCTTTCAAAAAGGTGTTGTTTAAAGAAGAAGATGCAGTGATTTACAAAAATGGTGAGTATATGTTTTGTTTCCTGAAGCACTGTGCTGTGAGACATCTGACAGCATAAAGTACATTGTGTCATTACTCTCTTGTAGTCTTGGGGCAAATGTTTGAAGTAGAGCTGTTCTGAAGCAAGCAAAACAAACTCCATGGTAGAAGTGCTCTTAGGCAATGTGCTTGGTTTCTTAATCAGATAAATTAGAGTGGATATTCATGTACACATATGAATTTACATACTTTGAATGGTCATACATCACTTAATAGGGATACATTTTGAGAAATGCTTCATTAGGTAATTCTGTTGTGTGAACATCAAAGAGGCATTGTGTATAGAGCTGCATTGCACAAGTCTAGAGGGCGTAGTCTACCACACACCTAGGCCACATGGCTTAGCCTGTTGGGACCACTGTCATATATGCTGTCCAACTGAAACTTTGTTAGGCAGTGAATGAATGAATGCACTGTTATGAATGTATAACATGAATTATGAATTTATAATGAAACCCCATCGTGGTGGGATAAGTAGTGTCCCAAATACAGCCACATAAAATTTGATCGTGTTTGATTACAAAGTCAGAGAGTGAGCATGGTAAGTCAATGGCAGCAGTTCTGGGGTCCAAACTGTGCAGTGCAAATCTGTCCAGTCCAGTTCTGGATTGGCGCTACCTGGTGGCAATTGCCTGCACCAGTTGAAATACTGATGAGGACCATTCTGAGCTCTGGATGGGTAGAATTCCCAGATGAGAGTAGTGGTTCTAGGTATCTCTCAGTTGATCAGTTGGCAGGGTTTCCTGACATTTCAAGAAGACTCTGATCTTCATATGTTTGGTGGTAGATCCCATCCACTACCCTATCAACAGAGCATCGAATAGCTGAGCCTTTTCATACTTACATATTCAATATGCTAGAACACATTATCTCTACCAGGTCAGGGGAGCTGATCAAGTGGCAGGCCCAGATAGGAAACACTCAAAGATGAAAATGAGTGTGACCCATTTTTTCCTACTCTTCTCCCTTACTAGGTTCCTTCATCCATTCAGTGCCCCGGCATGAAGTCCCTGAAGTTTTAGAAGTGCATCTGCCTCACGCTCAGCCCCAGGATGCTGGTGTGTATTCGGCCAGGTACATAGGAGGAAATCTCTTCACCTCGGCCTTCACCAGGCTGATAGTCCGGCGTAAGTGATTGAGAGGCTACCCTCTGTGATGGTGTCATGGTTAAGCTTTTTAGTTGCGGTAACAGAAACTAACTTTGGCTCCTCAACTAAAACCAGAGACTGGTTGAAAGGATAGTCAGGGCTCTTAGAATAGTAATGGAAAAACTGACAAGTAAGTTCCATAAGAGAGGCTTTAAGGATCTGGGGCTCAAGATGGAGGGGGTGAGGTAAACTTTCACTCAAGGATGCTGCCATTATCCTAAGTAAACTATGTTTACTTCCAAATCTTAAATAAAGAATCAGATTTCCCTAACCTACATTAAACCAGTGAGCTATAGACAAAGGTACAGCCATATACCACCATAGGGCACTAGGTCCTCACATTTGAATAGCAGCATATCCCCATAAAAAGAGGGAGTCACTGTGAGTTTTCAGACATATGAAAGTGTCTGCTACAGGGTAATGAGTTGGGCCCCTTTGATAAGTCTGACAGCTAAACATTCATCTCCTATAAAATCCACACTTTCTGGATTATTTAATGTGATTTCTATTTTCAGATTTGAAAAATGCAATACTTAGAACTAGTAAAGTCCCCTCTGCATGAAAACTATTGAAGTGGGGAGAACTATCAATAGAAGTTTTTTACATGAACATGATCTATAGAAAGTAAAAAATTTACCCTGAATTTTCCCCAGCTGTGCCTGGTACTCATGCTATTACATATTCAGGCCTTGATATCTAAGTAATTGAGCTGCCCTGTCATTCTTTAATGATTCATATCTCTAATTCACGAAGAGTATTTATTTTTGCTTTGTATTATATTCATGTATTGACTCATTCAACAAATATGTGTTGATCATAACTGTGCCAGGCATTGTTGATTGAGAATACAAGGATAACAAGATAAACCAATGTCCCCTGGGTAATTTCCAATCAGAGAAGACACATAAATATTGCAGTGTGACAACAGAAATACAGAAAGTGTCTAGTTTGGGCAGGTGAATTTCCCTTTTATTCCATTACATTCATGGAGAGTTTGAATGAAAGGACACAAATTTCCATTCATTTCAACAAATGGTTCCTCTCCAATCTGAAACAACACAGTGTACTACGGTGCTCCGTATGGAATAAATGGGCAGCTTTTCCAGCAATATCAGAAATATTCAATGCTGGCTTAAGGTAAAAGGCCTTCAAGCTTTTTTTTTTTAAATGTCAAAACAAACATGACTTAATACAGACTAGAATTTAAAATTCATCTGCTTCTTAAGATACAGTCAAAGACTTCAAACATTTTGATATCCAAGTTGTCTCCTTTTAAACTGCTGGGAGCACATGTTCATTCTCTTTTGCTTCAAGGAATAGTTCCATGAAACTGAGATGCACTGATACTATCTAAAAACATTCTAAGAAAGTTTGAGCTGGGCCACAATCATTCCAGTTGAGAGTATTTTCCCTGGCATGAGCTTGGTGGTGTTTACTAACAAATGAACTACAGCTGGAGGCATTTGCATCTGCAGGTATCTCTCCAAGATGAATTGAGCCTAGGAATAGTCAGTGCTTAAAGATTTTGTATTAAAAATTGACAGTGGTTATATGTCTAGGATTTCTTTTCAGTATAACTTCTCTCCCTGACAAAAGATTTCTAGCAAATGTTAAAGTGTATAGAATTTTTTCTCATGCCATGAATATATGGTTTCTTAAAATAACAAAATCACAAAACTTGAAGAAAATAATGGAAACCTAATTATGTACTTGTTTCTTACCAATAAACTCTTCTCCTGATTTCTTTATCCCTAAGAAGTCACTGCTATTATTACCTTAGATTTTACTTTTTTCTCCTTCCCAGGGATAGGAGCAAAGCACTGGGACTGGTCTAGAGAGAACAGGGCTAGAGACAGTTTAATGTTAACAGAAACCCATCTTCATTTCCATAAGCCATTAATTTTCAACACGTACAAATAACCTGTGGTCTAACTCTCAAGAAATCACTAGTTGTGCAGAAGCATTTTTCCTTTATACATTAAGACATGTAAATATTAGCTTTTTAGGCATTTTGCAGTTTTATCTATTAAGTGGGAGCCTGTAAGAAAAGGTCTGTGTTAACAGTCTTCCTGATTATTTCAGAGAAAATACTGATAACCAGGAGTGCTTGCCAAAGAACTTACAAGGTTACATCAACTGTACGCACAGGTCCAAATTTACCAGCAGGAGTCTAAAATTCAGGGACAAAGATACTCATTCCTTTCAGATATGAAATTTCTTTAAAAGCAAACAAACAAACACAAAAGCCCCAAGAAATCAAACTTTTGACTACAGAGGGTCATCCCACCCTTACCTCTACTCCATCCCTGGGTTTTCCTTATAAGGTATTCTTGGGCCTGATTAACAATCCAAATTACAAATACTACAGATGAGTAGCCAAGAACTATACATCTAGAAGCATTTCACTGCCTTTGTACTTCAGATTTTGTGTACCTTGTTTCATATTTTCTACCTGAAAAAAAGATGGATGCTGTTAGCTTCTGATTCTCCGTTTTCTTTTTTTGCCATATTGTATCCCTCCACTACACTGTGGATCACATGTTCTCAAATTCTGGCATGCATCAGAGTCATTAGGAGCACTTGTTAAGCATAGATTGCAAGGCATTTTCACAATTCCTCCTTTAATAGGTCATGGGTGGAGAGTCTGAGGTTTGCACTTCTAACAGATTCTAACAGATTCCCACATAAGGAAAATGCTCCCAGTCAGGCATCACCATGAAAACCACCGCTCTTGTCTCTAACCATACCTGCAGCTCCCTGGGCCTGCTGTGCCCTCCTTCTACTGCCTCACCTTTGCTGGAGCACACACTGCAGCCTGGTCTTCTTTGCTACGTGACTGGTCCTGCAGATTCACATTCCACCTCCTCTGGGAAGCCTTCCTTTATGCCCTCTTCCATTCCCAAGACAGGATTAGGTACTTTATGTCTTTGTTCCTCTCATTACTTCCTGTTTACGTCTGTTTCCCACGTTAGCCTACTAACTTTCAGAGAGCAGAGGTTGTATTTTATTTATCTTCAGTGGCTAGTTAAATAACTGACAAGTAGCAAGTGCTCAGTAGAGGTTGGTTAAGTGAACATGCTCTACTCACCACACTATTGTTTTCCTTAACAAAAGGATGTGAAGCCCAGAAGTGGGGACCTGAATGTACCCGCGTCTGCACTGTTTGCATGAACAATGGTGTCTGTCATGAAGATACTGGAGAATGCATTTGCCCTCCTGGGTTTATGGGAAGAACATGTGAGAAGGGTAAGTCAAGAGCACTTGATGAGTAAGTTGTGGATATAAAAAACTATCATTGCTGGATCTAGAATTTTAGACCTGGACAGAGCAGGGATAGAAGCTAAATGGCCTCCCAGGCCATATGGTATCTTTGTGTGAATTAGATAAAGGTGCCTTTTCCCAAAGGTTTTTTATCATCAACCCCTGGAAAGTTGTATTAACCCTTTGCACTCCGCTGTCCCCTCTCAGGGGACATCGGAATTCTAGCATATCACTCGGATGTCCCCTCTCAGGGGACATTGCAATTTATTAGTGATTACGGGGAATTGAGGTTATTTCAACGCAACTTTTTGAGACATGCATGTTTCCCTGAAGTTTTATCTTGAAATGGCACAAGAAATTAAATCAAAATATCGTAAAATGGTTCGGAGTGCAAAGGGTTGAGTATATAAATCTGCGAAGTCTGTGATGACAATGTGAGCCCCTAGATTCTTGCAGTAGATGCCTATACAGCCGTGGATGTAACCCTGATGTTCTCACTGTGGGGACGTTTCATTACATATAACATCGGCTATAAGGGTGTGTTCTGCCCATGCCAGAGCCGAAACTGAATTATTTTACATGTTCACTGGCCTAGGAGACACCCTTGAAAGAAGAATTATGTATTTCAAGGGGTTGCATATTTGACTCTGTATCATCTTTTTCTCTACCTAAAGCTTGTGAACTGCATAGATTCGGCAGAACTTGCAAAGAAAGGTGTGGTGGACCAGAAGGATGCAAGTCCTACGTGTTCTGCCTTCCAGACCCCTATGGGTGTTCTTGTGCCACAGGCTGGAAGGGCCTGCAGTGCAATGAAGGTAAGCCCCGGTCATACCTTACACAGAAAAGGTTCTAGCGGTGGAAATCCAGCTTTCTAAAAATCACAGTGAAAGCTATCCCTTGACTGCTCAGACAACTACCCATTGCTGAGTATGGGGTTTTGAATACCAGCTATTTCCATTCAAAGTTAATTATGCTTTCATTTTAAGACTCTGGACCTCCTAGAAAGCACTTCACAAGGCCTGGGATCTAATAAAAACATAGACTGTGATTCTGTTGATCTGGATTTGGGCTTGAGGTTCGTTCTGCCTTTCTAATTAGCATCCAGGTGGTATTGATGCTGTTGCTTTTCAAACCACGTTTTCTGTTAAAAGGACAAAGATTTGTGTTTTCCGTGGGTCATAAACATCAGCCCTTTGGGTTAGATCCAGATAGGATTTGTGATTTGAAAATTGAGGAAGTTAAGATGTTATCTTCTCTGGATCTTAGTAGTACTAAATACTCAGATTGCCTCTGTCCTTTCTGAAATATACTTTCCCGTTTATTGAGGCTCAGTGGTTTGCTTCCCATTCATTTGCCATTATGCCTTTTACAACTACTGTCACACAATAGTTGAAGATGACCCTGCAGCCAAATATGTCAGACCCTACCTAATGAATGCTAATGTGATCACTTAGCCAGAGCTTAAAGACTTTGCAGTGTCCATTTTTTTCACATCTTACATATTGGGAGCTATGATGGGATTCCCCCCTAAAACTTGATGATAACAGGTCAGAGAAGTTCAGTTAGACATATAATCAAGCCACATACAAAATTAAAGAATTTCTACTAGCTGCCTTTAGAACATAAAAGAACACTGGTAAAGTAATTTTAATGTTTCAGTTAAACCAGGGTGTCAAAAATATTACCAGTTCAATATGTAATCAATAGAAAAGAGGATTAATGAGATGTTTTACATTCCTTTTTCCATGTTAGGGCTTTGATATCTGAATTTGGACTAGCCATCTTTTAAGTGCTCAAGAGTTGCACATGGCAGGTTCTACCTTGCTGGACACCACAGTTGTAGGGTCTTGGAGGAAGAAGTTAAAGGGAAATGTTACACAAATGTAAGTTGCAGCCACTTGCAAAACCCCAGTAAAATCCCTCTAAAAGCTGTGTTTGTCTCCATGGAATATTGAGGGAGCTATGGCAGTGGAGGAATCCCATCTGGTCTCAGAAATAAACATCTTAAAGTAAAAGGTGATTCTAGGTAGGGGCAGATCCAGTCCCTCTTTAAAAGGAAAAATATTAACAAAACATGCAAATTACAAAACACGTGTGTATGTGAACACATAGCTAGGATCGAATAAGGGGTGCATGCACGTGAAGAGTCTAAAATGGAAGCTTCATCAGCTGCAGGGTAGATGTGTCTCTAGACCCACACTTAACAGAGCACATCTCAATAACTCAGTCCAGCCTGGCTCAAATATTCTAATTCCCCTATACACCTTCCCTGAACCACCAATTATATGTGTTTTAGATCTCTTGATATTGTTCCATAGGTCCCTGTGGCTCTAATCATCTTTTTCTAAACTTCTTCTGACCTCTTCTTCAGATTGGAAATCTACTGATATAATTTCAAGTTCATTGACATTTATCTCTGTCATCTCCATTTTGTTGCTAAGTCCACATAGTGATAATTTATTTCAGATATTGCACTTTTCAATTCTAAGAATAACTTTTTGGTTATTTTTTATAGTTCAAACTCCTCATATTTCTCCTTGTTTCATTTGTTTTGAGCACATTTTCTTGAGCATAATTGTAGTTGTTTCAAAATTTTTGTATACTATTTTCAACATTTGATTGGTGTATGCTGACTTTTAAGAATGGGATGTAAGTCTTTATTTCTTCTTAAGTTGAATACTTTGGATTTTATCTTGGCTATTATAAATGTTACATTGTGGAGTCTCTGCAATATGGTATATTCTTTTGAGGAATGTTGATTCTGTTGTTGTGTTTTAGTGGGTAATTAAGTTGGTAGGACTCATACTGAAAACTCTGACTTGGGCATCAGCTCAAACCCACTTCAGTTCTTTTATCCTTGGTAGGGTTGCTTTTAGTCTATATATTTTTTTAAGATTTATTTATTTATACAAGAACCACAGTACAGGCCAGATGTGCAGGAGGGTGAGAGGATTCACCAGAGACAGAGCAGGGAGCAGAACAGGCAGACTGATGAAATATACTGCTGAGGGGAGCAGCGGGCACGACAGGTGAGGTCTGCTGCACCATGTGGGACCCTCGCCAGCCGACTGGGATTGAACTGGCGTTGCAGAGGCTGCAGACAGCTTCACAGCGCGGCACTCAACTGCCTGTGCCACCAAGGGAGGCCCGAGTCTATATTTATTAAGTGTGATTGGTAGGTCAAATATTTGGATTTCCTTTGCCTCTCCCTTTTTAGATTTTTTCTTTCACTTTCCAGTGGCTGTGGTTTCCTTGACTCTGTCCTCTGGTTCTTCAGGTTTTCTTTACATTTTAGCTTCCCCACATAGTGTCAGCTGTACCCAACCATTAGATTAGAAGCTGAAAAATGAATGACATTCCATTCCTTTCTTCCAAGTTTCAGTTCCCCTTCAGGACCTGCCTGGTTGGTTCCCCTCAATTCTAAGTGCTTCCAAGAAGTTTTTATTTCTTTGTTTTTGTTTTTAAATATAGTTTTCTATGAGATAGTTGGTAGAAGCTTATCAAACAGGCCAGGAAGCAGAATTCTTCAACCTTTTTAAGTTCCATGTAATTCAGATAAATAATGCTATCAAATTACATATTGACTTAGATGAATCCACAAGACTGACAGCTTGGAATGAAAATAAAATTAGCCATTTGTAGTCTTAGTTTCCTCCTTTCTCTGTATTAACACCAATTTTGATGTTTTTTTTGTTTACAGCATGTCAGTCTGGTTATTACGGGCCAGACTGTAAGCTTAGGTGCAGGTGCACCAATGGGGAGGTGTGTGATCGGTTCCAAGGATGTCTCTGCTCTTCAGGATGGCAAGGGCTACAGTGTGAGAAAGAAGGTAAAGCAAGGTAACACTGTAGTCAGAACCATGTCCAGCGTGACTGAAGCAAGCTTTGTAGCATTCTTATCTCAGTAGTGCAAGAACCTCAAGCTACTTCTCTTTCCATCCAGAAGTTAGGAGGAATATATACCAAGTCCTAAAGGATAGTGTTCTAATGCATTTTTAAGGACTCTCACATTGGCAATCATTTTTCCTTTCACTAGGAATAGACCAGGTGCTCTTTGTCACATATCAAGTGATGACTGGCCAGTTAGGAGCTCTGCCCACTTCTCCCTTCAGCAGGACTACCCTTCTCCCTGGCCGTGAACAACAGGGAGAGAACTACATTGGAGGGACCTGGACAAAGGATGGTTTTTAAAAGATAGAAAGAATTAAAAATAAAAAAGACTACTCTCACAATGAAATACTTTTAGTTCAAAAATTACCCTAGAGCAGATCAACAAACTCTGATCCAAACCACTCTCCTATTTAAAACAGAAAACAAAACCAGCTTTATTGGGATGTAATTTTTATAGCATGAAGTTCAATCTTTTCAAATATATAACTCAATGGTTTTTAAGTCTATTACTAGAGTTGTGCATCCATCACCATAATCCAATTTTATAATATTTCCATCAGACCAAAAGAAATCTTGTACCTATTAGCAGTAGCTCCCAATTCTTCCCTTCCTACCCTTGCAACCATTGATTTGCTTTCTTTCTGATTTACCTTTTTCTTGTCTTTTCATAAACTATAAATGGGATAATACAATATGTGGTCTTTTGTGACTGATTTCTTTTAATTATCATAGTGTTTTTGAGGCTTATCAATATTGTAGCATATGTCAGTACTGTATTCCTTTCTGTTGGTCCATCATAGTTATATAGAAAATTTTGTTGGCTCATAGCCATCCTTGTTCATTTACAATAGATTCTCTGTGGTTGCTTTTGCATGCTAGCAACAAAGCTGAGTAGTTACCACAGAAGACATATGGCTTGCAAGCTGAAAATATTTACTATCTAGTCCTCAGAAAAAGCTTGCTAACTCTTGTCCTAGAATACTCTTTTCATAATTAAAAGCATAATTTCAAAATTTTGAACATAATAAACATATAACTTTTCTCAATCAAATAAATACAAATGTTAGTGTAAGAAACATATCCAGTGAAATGTACACTCAGAGTCGTAAGACAGTTACAGCCTTTTTCTGTTTCTGAAATCAGAAAAAATATGGGAGGGTAGGATAGCAACAGTTGTTTTCTCAAAGGCATGAGCTTACCAGCTTTGTATTTTTTCTTCTTTCCTCAGCAATTGGATTTTGCCACAGGGTAAAATTAGAGTCTGAGAAGTTCTAGGAAAGGGAAAAAATGCCTTGGGGCGATCAGAGGATGAGATTGAAAATGGGCAACTCACATATTTAAGGACCTGAACACTGTACTTTAACTACTTTCTCCCTGTTCTAAGGCTGATGCTGTGAAAGTTGTGAGACTCTCAGACCTAGTTCCCTTTCCTTACCTGATTTCATCCTCCATCCATGTGTCCACCTTCACCTCCATCCACCTGCAGAAAATGCAAGGGGACAATGAAAGAATTACATGCCCTGAAATGGTCAAAGTATTTTTCAAACTTTCTGTGTGAATGGCTACATAAGGCGCGGCATTTTGGTAAAATTTCTAATCACAATCTGTCTACAGATAAAGAATTCCCTTTGTAGTAATTAGACCTCTTTCCCTCCTGCTTTATGCCCTTTGCTTGGTTCATTCTAGGCCTAAGAATTAGGCTATCAATCCAAAATATCAATATTGATGTGCCTCCCTTAATCCCACCTGCCCCCTCCACTGGTAAGAAATAACATGTAAGTACAGCTCCTCTTGGGTGCTGGCATGTTTACTAAGTATTGGACTGTTCTCAACACTGTCTCACATTTAATTACAAATAATCTCAGGTTTTCTAAGACCCTACAGTTCAGAATAGAATAGATTCTTTAATCTCTACTATGTGGATATTAAGCAAGGAATCCCTGATACCTTTGTTGACACCAGGACATTCTTCTTTAATACTAGTAGCAACAATTTTTTATTTGGCTGTTGAATAGAAATTCATTTGGGAAAATTATATTCCTGTCACTTCTTGAATAGAAATGTAAACATTTTAATCACCTGTCACTTACAGACTTCTCCATTGATAAGATATCTCATATCAAAACTGAGGATCTTATTGTTGATCATCAATAGTATTGGATTTTGCTGAGTAGAACAACTAGTGTGTCTATATATAGGTGTGTGTGTGTGTGTGTGTGTGTGTATTCTCTTAAAACGTAAGAGAGGAACTGAACAATAAATGAAGGGGAGATGTGGCAGTGACCATCTTTTCAATATTGAGACTGAAAGCTCCAGTCCACTGAGGCAGTACAGCATTACTGTGAAGTGTGAACTCTGGATTCATAGAGATCTGAGCTGAATCTGGGCTCTGAGCCTTGGTCTCCTTGTCTACATAATGGATGATAATAGCTCATAAGTTTATAATGTAAAGGTAAAACAGTGTATTTGCAAAGTTCTTGCCGAGTGCATGACTGGGTAAATTGCAGCTACCTGTGTTATGACTATTCCTACTGTGTTAAAGAGTAGAATACATAGTGCTGTTTCCTTCATTCAGGTGTGCAAAGGCAGACTCCAAAGATAGAAGATTTGCCAGATCATATAGAAGTCAACAGTGGTAAATTTAATCCTATCTGCAAAGCGTCTGGCATGCCACTACCTGCTAATGAAGAAATGACCCTGGTGAAACCAGATGGAACGGTGCTCCATGTAAGAATTATTTGCAATCTGCCCCCATTACAGCATTAATGCTTTTACTATAGTAATCAACCTGCTAAGGACTGCATTCCACTCGTGGCTTGCATCCTTCTATGCTAGGGTATTACTCGCTTTGACAAAATGCCATATTCCTGGGGAGGCAAAGCAGACTTCCTGCAGACTTACTGGTCCCCCTACAGTCTTCATGACCAGCCCCTTCAGTGCCAGGTTGGAAATCTGCCACAGTGAGACTGAATGAAGTTGAGTGCCAAGAATGACACTCATCCTGCAGAACTGTCCAGTTCTCTGTGCTAAGAAGTACATGTTAGCCTGTGCAAAGCTCTGCCCTGACAATATCCCCCTGGCTCTGCCCCCTTATATTAGGGAGAATGAGGCGGGCCATGAAGGGGTGCTGTGACCGTAAATCAGCATAAGATTTTTGTGCTAGCTCCCAGGTATATGGGACATGAAACTGGTCAACTGCTATCAACCTCTTTGCAGCAGCAATTAGCAGAGGGCAGAAGAGGAGAATTTAACACAACTAATTTTAGTATACATAGAACTGTTTCCACACTTTTAATAGGATGAACTCTTGAGGTCTGAATACATTCCTTGGGTCCTCATCCCTCTTCACTTTGAGTCATTGCTGGTGTTCACCATCGGTTGGGGCGCAATCACAGCGAATCTTTGCTAGAACTAAACTATCTTTGAAGTATGTTTCCCTTCTCTCTCCCAACAATCCCAAATGCAGCAATGACAGCCCCCCAAAAGTACTCTGTCACAAGTGATTCTCAGGAAGTTGATGTATTTTCTTATCTAAAATATTCGAAATAGTTATCTTACTTTTCTCTCAAAGATGGCCAAAATCAACTTGACCAGAAGGCTGATCCAAGTGACCTCTTGGGGGAAGGATATGTAGAATATGCCATTATGGACACCCACACATCAGATGTTCTTGATGCCACTAAAACAACCCATTAGGTCCTAGAAGTCAATGAACAGTTTCCAAAATCTTGTTAGCCTTTTCATGAGTTAATGGAAGTAACAGCTACCACACAGTGAGGGCTGACTGGACTATATACAATATCTTACTTAATAGTACCTGTCCTCTTTTTGCAAAAGTGGAAACTGGCTGACTGAAGTTAAGTAACTAAGAAATTGGTCAAAAGTGGCAGCACCAGTTTGTGAACAGAGGTGCAAGAGTCTTCAGAGCTCTGGTTTTTTCCACAGCACCACACTTGACAGCCCCTCAAACACTTTTGGAAGCCATTTTGTCTTCCCATTCAGCCATGAGACTGAAGAGGAACAAATGTTATCAGATGCCATTAAAAAGGAATTAGACTCCTTGCTTGTAAGTGTTTATTCCACACTCCAAAACACACAAACACAACAGCAGGATCTGTGAGGGCGTCAATCCAATATAAACTTTCAGGGCTACTACAATAGCTTTGGAAATAAGCCAATGATTATGCTAGTATTGCATTTAGCTTCTTAATCTCTCCTAGAAAACTTCTCATTAAACAATGAGATGGGGTCAGTGTTATAGACCTTTGTGTTTATGCCTCTAGAAGTTATTTTTTGTGTGTGCACTTGCCCTTTCCAGCCGAAAGACTTTAACCACACAGGTCAACTCTCAGTGGCCATATTCACCATCCACCGGATACTGCCCCCTGACTCAGGAATCTGGGTCTGCAGTGTGAACACAGTGGCTGGAATGGTGGAAAAGCCTTTCAACATTTCAGTAAAAGGTAAGATCCATTTTCCAAAGGAAAAAAGCTTATATCTTTGATGGCTATGTTTTTGTATTGCTGGATGTTGCTCCTATACAGAAATACTATCTGATCACTGAAATACCTTTTGGCTGTTTTCCAGAATGCTAAAATAAACAAATGCATGAAAATGGAACGGAGAAATTAAGGCTATGACTTTTGAATTCATACAGTCCTGGGTTTGATTTTTGTGCCTAACGGCTAGAAACGTTTCTCGTGGCACTGAGCAAATTAATTTAAATTCTCTGGGCCTTTATTTGTAAATGAGCTCTACTTACTACCTTTCAAGATTATTGTTAACATTTATGAAATTATAATACATTTGGAATTGTGTCTGGCACAACATGACTATTAGTATGTATATTCCACAGGTTGTTTAGCCTCATCATAATTTGACTTCCTATTATCAGAGAAAATAATTTGGAGAAATTTTCCTTTGAATATTGCTAAGCATGAAGCCCAGGCTATACTGTATAATTAATATGAATGGGTTTTCACATATTCAGGGTTGTGAATAATTTTCCAGCTCTGAAGTAGTATTTCAAAATTTAAGTGGATATGGCATGAAAGAAAGTAGAAGTAAATCCAAGTTAGCTTGGCTGATGTACATAAATACAACAAGGAATTTTAAATTTGAAAGGTACTTAGAAGCTCATTTAGAGAAAACACCAAACAGGTCTCTGGCATATATTCCAGGAAAGATAGTGAGCTAAGTGGTTCACACACATCATCTAATTTAATATTGTATGAATCATGTGTTATAGATATTGTTATCCCCACTTTACCAGTCAGGACACAGCTTCAGCAGGCTGAGCTAACTTGTGTAAGGCAGCATAGCTGGTAAGCAGAAATCTTAGCTTTGAACCCAAGATTGGTGAGTCCACACCCTGTACCATCTCTTGTAGACTACTGAGCTTTCTGAGTCTCTTGTGTTGCAGATGAGGAAGCAAGCTATCTGAAGTTGATTTGTATTTTACCCACCTCATTACTTAATTGGGAATGTTTTGGTGATCCCAGATGTAATTTCTAGAAATGAAATTGATGTAGACACTCAGAACGTAATTTTTTAAACACCAGTAGCATACTCTCATAACTTTGGATTTTCTGCCCTGAGAATCCATGTAAATCCATCACAGAATCTTTAATATTTTTTATTTTCCTGGAAAAATGGCCAACTCTTTTATTCTGAGAAAATTCACATGCACATGATCAAAACAATTTAATTTTGCATGTTTGGGGAAGAAAGGAAATAATATGCAGCAAAGACAAAATATCTTTTTAGGCTCCTTGGAATTTTTGCTACCCATGGAAAAGAAATAATAAGTAAAAAAACAAACCATGTTGGTAAGATTGAGGAGAGTCATGGTTTCTAATTTTTTTTTTAAGATTTATTTATTTATACAAGCACTGGGTACAGTCAGAAGCGTGGGAGGGTAAGCGGATTCATCAGAGTCAGAGTGGGGAACAGAACAGGCAAACTGACTGAAATATACTGCTGAGGAGAGCAGGGAGAGGTCTGTGCACCATGTGGGACCCTTGCCGGAGGCCAGGGATTGAACTGGCGCTGCAGAGGCTGCAGGCAGCTTCGCAGCCCAGTGCTCTACCGCTGCGCCACCGAGGAGGCCCTCTAATTTTATGTTTTAATGAAATACACAGCACACAGCCTCAATGCATAGTAGCATCTCTAGTTCTTAGCTATTGATGCCTCCTCATTGTTATGTTGACTAATATCCATGAAGTGGAACTAACCATCAGGTAAAGTAACGAGTCTTTAATCATAGTATTAAAAAAAATCAGATACTAAATTCTACTACCAGAATATAAACTGGTGCAACCACTATGGAAAACTGGCCATATAGACTAAAGCTAAACGTATATCTCCCTGTGACCTATCAATTCTATTCCTAGGTATATGCTCAAAAGAAATGAGAGAAATGAGTGCATATGTTCAAAAAGATATTTCCAAGAATGTTTACAGCATTTGTAGCCCCAAACTGAAATAAACCCAAATATCCATCAACCTTTCATGTGATAAGTTATGATACATTTATGATACAATTATGATACATTTCTATTCAGTAGCTTGTTGGGTTGCTGTAGTGAAGTACCACAGACTGGGTGCCTTCAACAACAGAAACTTACTCTGCAGTTCTGGAGGTTGGATGTCCCAGATGAAGGTGTTGGCAGGGTTGGTTTCTTCTGACCCTTGCTCCCTAGCGAGTGGATGGTGTTCTCCTGTCTTCACGTGGCCTGCCCACTGTCTGTATGTCCTAACTTAATCTTCTTATAAGGACATCAGTCATGTTGGACTATGAACCATCCTCATGACCTCATTTTCTCTTAAACACCTCTTTCAAGATCCTATCTCCAAATTCAATTGCATTGTGAAGTGTACTGGAAGTAAAGACTTCAACATGTGAACTGGTGAAGGATAGACACAATTCAGCCCAAACCTCACACAATAGAATACTAAGCACCATCTTGAAAAAGGGAATTGGTTCCTACAACAATATGAATGAATCACACAGATAATAATAAGCAAAAGAAAGCACATACTTTATGAATCTATTTCTATAAAGAATAGGTAAAGCTAATCTATAGTGACAAAAGTCAGGATAGTAACTCCCTTTTGACTGAGAAGGTATACAGAGGTACCTTCTGGGCACTGGAGAGATGTTCTCTCAGTGTGGATGGTGGTTACATGGGTATGTGTATAGGTGAAGTTCCTTGAGTTAAATATACTTAAGAATTTATACTTTATAGTATGTGTATGTATATGTGTGTATATATATAAAAGAATGTGCGATAAAAAGAATGATAAATTACTAAGAGGAAGATTTTGGAACATTTTTATAGGATACTGGCTTTAATGACTATACTAAAATATGTTATTTGATGATTTAAACAAACAGGTGGTCTTATTTGATCATGGCTTGGTGAATAAATTCGTTCATAGCAGTGCCCTCTTCAGAAAATGACCAAAGTAAAATGTGTATCCAGTTAACTTACCCAGTTCGATCCTGGAATTGTCTCCAGTCAGAGAATACTGCTTGATGACCAACTTTATTATCCTGACCTTGGATGGCTACTCCTAAATGTTCAGTCAGTCAATAAGATTTACTGAAGCCCTGTTTTGTTCAGACCCTTGTTTAGGCACTGGGAATGCTGGTGTAGGCTGGAGGAGTGACTTTAATTTTTTAAAGATTTATTTATTTGTACAAGAAATGGGGTACAGGCCAAAGGTGCGGGAGGGTGAGAGAATTCACCAGAGACAGAACGGGGAGCAGAATAGGAAGATGGACCAAAAACACTGCTGAGAGGAGCAATGGGCGAGAGAGGAGAGGTCTGCCATGCCATGTGGGTATCTCCCTGGCTGGCCAGGAATTGAACCTGTGCTGCAGAGGCTGCAGACAGCTTCATAGTGTTGTGCTGAACCCACTGTACCATTGGGGAGGCCCAAGTGAGGCCCCATTTTAAATGGGGGTAGTGAGGAATCCCTGAGAAGATAATATTTAGGCAAAGGTTTGAAGGTAATTTCTAAAGATGGTGAGTCAGAATGAGACAGAGAAAAAGTGGCTACTGAGCACTGTAATATTCCCCCAAATCTGAAACATCCTGCATTTTATAATATATACTCTTTGGGAGGGAAAAAAGAAAACCACAACAGTTATGCATTTCTAAGAAGGTCAGGCCAATGGAGCTTTGGTAATCACTGGACATTCATTCGGTTGACAAACATTTTTCAGAACCTGACAAACCTACATGGCCTTTACCCTAGTAGATCTTAGAATATAGTACAATGTTTTACAACCTTTTCTTTATCGTTATTATCCAATTAATGAACACTTAGAAATTTTACTCCAGGAATCTCCTCCCATCACCATAAAATGTCAGTGTCACAGATGTAATATATGCCTGTTTAGGTACTGTGGCTCTTTGGAAAGTCATAAACCATTGTACTTGCTAAGAATTTTTTTTATCCCCAAAGAACCAATTCTCACACTTTTACAGTATATTTCCTCTTATTGAGAACACATGGTCTTTGAGATGGGGAGATTTTTTGGAATTATCCAGGTGATTTCACTCTCATCACATCTGCTTAACGACAGGGAATCTTTCCTGGCTGTAGTCAGAAAGTGATAACACAACGGAACAAGGTCAGAGAGGAAGGGGTCATGAGCCAAGGAATGCAGGTGGTTTCTAGCAAATGGAAAGAACAAGGAAACAGATTCTCCCCTAGAGCCTTCAGAAAGGACACAGCCCTGCTGACACCTTGATCTAAACCCAGAGAGACCATGTCTGACTTTTGACTTTTAGAACTATATGATAATAAAAGTGCATTGTTTGAAACTGAGAGAGACTAAGGGGAGCTGAGGGGGTACAGAGAGATAATAAATATATAGTTTAGTAGGAAAACATATCAAATAATCACATAGTATCATAAAGCATAATAAACTCTGAAAATACAACAGGGAAAAAAATGTAAGTCCAGTGAAAGTGTTTGTGACACAAGCCTAATCGAGTTTCTGATGTAGCCTCTGTGCGGAAGTCACATCAGCTGAATGAATGATGGGTAGAATGAAACAGAATAGTGGGAATTAATCATTTCTCACAGGAGAACATCTATACAGATGCCACGACAAAGCTGCTTGGTGCATCTTTAGTTGGATGAACTGAGATGAGGTCAGTGGGACTGAGGATTGTCCAAGACTTGGCAGTTCATGATTTAAATCTTAGCTTTTATTAGATTTATAAGTGGGATAGCATTCCATTGTAAGGTCGAGCAGAGGAGTGCTCCTATTTTAAGAAAGCATTTGACTATAAATAATGGGTTGGAGGGACTGGAGCAAAGTAAGGTGATCACAGTGCAGGTGATTGATTACATTGAATCTGAGCTGAGAGCTTTCCAGGAGGGCTTTATTGGAAATGTAAAGGCACCCACCCCTACCCCAACTGACAACAATGATAAATCCCAAAGTCTAAGACTAATCTTATTGCTGATGTTTTATTTAGTTCTTCCAAAGCCCCTGAATGCCCCAAATGTGATCAACACCGGACATAACTTTGCTGTCATCAACATCAGCTCTGAGCCTTACTTTGGGGATGGACCAATCAAATCCAAGAAGCTTCTATACAAACCTGTTAAACATCACGAGGCTTGGCGGCATATTCAAGGTAAGGTTTGAATAGGAAAGGCTCCAGCTGAAGATGTGGCACTAGGAAGTAAATATTCCCCAAAACCAGAAATCCCTTCCCTGTCATAACCCTCTGCCCCAAGGTAGTAGGAGAATATTACGTTGCAAAGAATCCAGGAGAGAGTGTGGCCCTCTGAGTTCTAGGGCTAACTTTCTGCAAGTGGTGGTGTATTATGGGATGTGGAACAGGCCACCATCAAGAGTTACTATCGATATCTGTATTTCCTTTCCAGGCTTCTCTGGATTGCCAATTTTTTTTTTTAGTTACTCTATCTTACTTAGTCATGGTGAAAAATACTTAAGTATAAATATGGTCATTGGAAAAACCAGGGTTTCTGGAAAGACAGGGACTCTGTTTAGCTCCTAAGGATGATTGTTGCCGTTCTAATGATTGTGTTTTTTTTTTTTTTTTCCTTTTTACGTTGGGTCTTACCCTGCTCTGCAGGCTCCTAAACCACAGAGATTTTGAGAGGAATTTGGAGTAACTGACTGTAGCAGACAGGCAGGGTAGTGGGGGCTGAGGGAATCTAGCCAAAAAGAGCTGCGAGCCCCTTCTCCCAACTTCCTGAAAAACAAACAATATAACAAAATGTGATAAAGTATCAAAACTCTATGAAAACAGTCTCACTTATTTAAAAACACAAATTACATTTCTGTTTGTTGCATGGTGTTGTCAATTGACCCTACTGCTTGGAATATGCCATCTAGTCCAGAGAACTGCCACTAAGGAGGCTGTAAGTGATCTGCATCCCTACACCACTACTTAGCCTCACAATGCCTGTGATGTCCTGAAAAGGGTCCTCTACTCACCTCACGTTGATAATTGAGGAGGTTATGAAAAAAAAAGAACTGTGAGGTTTGGGCTAATAAAACTAGCTGACCTGGGTACACAGAGTAAAGTCATGATATTAGTACTGAGCTTTTCACATTCTGTTGTAGATGCAACCAAAATTCAGCGTCCCAGAAATGTAAGACTGATTTACTAGATTGCTGCTTCAACATTAATAGCTAGGCCTTGTGGAGAAAGCAGCTGCTTTTCTTTTTCCATAGAGTGGTAAAAACCTAATGTCTTTTTCTACAAGCGAACACCCACAAAGTGGTCTTCTAAGAACACTTAAAACAGTCCAGATTTTTTCGGTACCGACTGGAAACTTACCCTAAGGCAGGGGGAAAAAAAATCTGCCTTCACAATATCCATGGAGAAACAGAGGCTGGCTAAAGCAAATAGCTAAGATTAAAAAAAAAAAAAATACACCATTTGTTTATGGAATCTATTTTCAAATACTTCAGGACCCTTCTTTTGTGATACAACCATTCTTCTTGTCATTATCAGCAAACCTCCAAAGAGCTGTTTTATCAAAGTTTGATTGCTCTCAATTATTTAATATTCTGATTGAGCCCCTCCCCCATACATCGGATTGCTATTCCACATCATGGAGGATGGGTGCAGTCTCACTCTAAAATGAAAAGCCACGAGCTCTTCTAGAGCCGAAATGTGTGACTCGGACACTTCTATGAATGTCCACATCATGACCTACACACTTCCTCTAAAAAGCCATATTTTCCTTATATTAGGAACAGCAAGGCCCTGAAGATGAATTGCTTCTCTGTTTCACTTAGACATTGTACTTTTAAAAACCAAACATTAGTTAGTTCACATCACAATAACAACATTCCAGTGTAAAGAATGTAAAAGAATGCCAACTGAAGTTTCCTGGACTTTCTCCTCAGTGACAAATGAGATCGTTACGCTCAACTACTTGGAACCTCGAACAGAGTACGAGCTCTGCGTGCAGCTGGTGCGGCGTGGACAGGGCGGGGAAGGACATCCTGGACCTGTGAGACAGTTCACAACAGCTTCTGTCGGTCAGTGGAAGCAAACAGCGTTTATTCACGAGCTGGGTGGGGGTGGAGAGGAAGGGAGAGAGGAAGGAAGACCAGGAAGGGTGGTGGTGGGTGAGTGTGGGTGGGTGGGTGGGGATAGAGGTGGAAGGAGTTTGCTTTTCAATGGGTGGGAAAGTGACAGGAAGGCTAACAACTTTGAGCCAAACCATGCCTTTATTTGGGCTGCACTCCTGGTCTATCTCCCTGGGGGAGGGTGTCTGCAGCCATCCATGGGGACAGAGAAGGAAGCAGATGAACCTTCAGGAAGGCAGGGACATCCCTGAGGAGTTGGGATTTACTTAGTAGCAACTGTGCTGAGCTTTGGCTCTGGTGTTTCACCACCAGCTTCCTGTTTCCATCGAAAGGACCTGGGCCAGGTTCTTGCTGCCTATCTCCTTCAGAAATTCCAGTTTATTTATTCTTAAAAATAATTTCTAATTTTTCAAAGTCATTCATGCACATAGTTAAAACATCAAATGGAATGAAACGCTTTTATCTAAAGAATAGTGGTCCCGTGGTCCACCGCTTCACCTCCGGCTTGCTGCCTATAGGCACTTAGTTCCTTACACTGTTTCTCATAACCTCCGTGTCTCTAAGTCACTGGTTCTCAAATATTAGTGTCACCTGGAGAGCTTGTTAAGACAGATTTCCAGGGCCCACTCTGAGTTTCTGATTCAATAGGTTTTGGGGGGTGAGGGGCTCAAAAATTTGCATTTCTAAAAATTTCCAAGTGATGTTTGATGCTGCTAGTCCTGGATGCACATTTCTGATAATATGTCAGCGGTGTTTCTTGATAGGTCACTGGGAACACTTGTTTATCGGCCTGCTAAGGTGTGAACTTCGAAGTCCTTGCATTGGAGAAGTTTCTCTGATGCTTATGTGGGTTGCACCTTTTTGCTGCCCAGCCAGCCATTGCGCAGCATAGGAGCAGTCCATTGACAAAGTTCTCTTTTCCACTGTTCATTGTGTATATCTACTCTGGCCTCTGTCCTGCTCACAGCTTCATAGTTACCAGTGCACCTATGTTTAATTCATGTTACCTTGGAGGGCAAGAATGATCATCTTCCCCATTGTATTGATTGAACAATAGAGTGTCAGAGAATTAATAATTTGCCTTTGTCATATGTCTTATGCATCACCATCTTTAATTTTTAGGCTTAATATTCTTTTGTTTCTCCTATTATCATCGTTGTTGTTGTTGTTATTAATGTGAGAGCCCAAAGGTCCCATTTCCTTATCCTAACTGGTAACATTTCCAGTTAAGTCCATTTACTGAAAGCCAGAGGCTATGGAATTATTGAGAAAGAAGGAAGCACATCTAGCTCTCCTAACAGAGGTGCCCCTTCCATGCCACCCTCCTACTTTTCCTCTGACCACCAGCATCTTGAAAGAACCAAGTAGGACTCAAGAGCTACTCTGGCATTTGCAGAAGCATTGCACAAGTAAGAAACGGCTTCTTAGGAACCCAGCAGCTTGCGAATACAGAAAATAATGCCAGAAGGTGTATGTAAGTTACAGGATAAAGGCATCACCGTGATTATGATCACAGGGGCCCTGATATTTCATCAGGTTGCTGCTAAAAGGCAAATGGTAGTTAATCTTCTCTCAGCTCAGTGCTGATGAAGCAAAAGGGGAAGGTCATAATCTGACTCAGGATGGAAAGTATTTATGGAACAGAACATGAAACACTTCTGAGACCCACACTGTACTGTCTTGAGTCCTCAGAATATGTTCCAGCCAGGATGTATTTGGAGGTCTTTTGGAATATTTCAAAGTAGTTCTCAGGGGCAGTGGGAAGGGAATTCTTGAAGGTTCTTCTTTTCCCATCATTGGAAATTTGCTGATGTTTGTTTTTAATTCATCTGGAAATTGCACTATTTAAACGTGTGTTGATTGAGTAGTGGAGGCCAGGAGGGGAAGGAAAGGAACACATTCTGAGCTCATGACAGAGAGAAGGTTATAGGGAGGAGAGAAAGGGAGGAAGAGGCGAAATGACCTTTGATGGCCTTCCTCCTCTGTACCAGGCACGGTCTTGGAAGATTAACAGGTGAGCTGCTCACCACCACCCTGTTCTGCTTTCTCATTGTAAATCTGCCTAACCACTCTACTGGCTGATTTTGGGACTTAAAAGTTAGAAATGAGTGAAAGGAGTTACTATCCCCTCAATTTGCAAAGGTCCTAGTGAAAGAACAAATAAGACTAAGCAAATGGAAAGACCTGCTTGTTAGTTGAAGAGCAGCTGGCAGGCGAGTCACTCTTCCTGTAGATGGATACAGACCTTTTATCAGTGGTTCTCAACTTAAAAAGGTTATCTCCCCCTGTGGAGTTTTCTTAGGGATCCTAAAAAACTATTGTTCTAATGTTTTCTCTGCCATGAAGTTTTAATACCATGATTTGTGATTGTGTGTGTGTGTGTGTGTGTATGTGTATACCCTCTCTCTTCTACATTCAGTTACTCCCATAGCATAGATTCTTTTTTTTTTTACATTTTTTTTAATTTATTTTTTTTTATAGAGGCATGTTTTTATTTATTTATTTGTTTGTTTGTTTGTTTTGTTTATACAAGCACTGGGTACAGTCAGAAGCGCGGGAGGGTGAGAGAATTCACCAGAGCCAGAGCGGGGAGCAGAGCAGGCAGAAGGACCAAAGAACACTGCTGAGGGGAGCAGCGGGCGGCAGGAGAGGTCTGCGCGCCATGTGGGACCCTCCTCTGGTGGCCGGGGAGCAGCCGGGGGTCGAACTGGTGCTGCAGAGGCCGTGGGCAGCTTCGCAACCCAGCGCTCAACCACTGCGCCACTGGGGAGGCCCCATAGCATAGATTCTTGTGGCTAAAATTCTGCAGCTAGTATGTAGCCATAGTCCATACCGTTATGTGATCGGAGCAGGACTGGGCCTGGCCCTCCCTCCACAGCTGTTATGATATCTGAAATTCTCCTTGCTACAGAGAAATAAACCCTGAAATTTCTTTCCAATGGACTGCTCAAATCATAACAGAAACACTGAACAATAACTCACAATCTCACAACTTTGGCAAATTCACTGTTTTCATTTTTATCTGTTTCCTTCCTCTCTCTCGCCAACTGTAGACATTACTTTTACCAGATGGCGGTCAGAGTTTCTTCTGCTGTATTGTAAATATTTTGAATGGGTTTCCAGATTTTTTCCAATTATCTATTTTAATCCATATCAGAATTATTCAAACATTCTTTATTTTGAGCATGCAGGTTTCCTTCTAGTTGTTGCTGTTGTCAACAGTGTAATGAGCTTGTTCATGCACATAGTTTTTCCTCTTCCCTGGGTTTGCTTCTGCAGGATAAATGCCTGGTAGCCATATTAAAAAGGTCAAAGTATATGGTCATTTCTAGGTTTCTTGAAAAATTTTCCCAAGTTGTTATCTAAAGGGGTTGATTTCCTCTATCACAGTCACTCAAACTGCAAATTAAAATTACCTTAAATGTTATTCTGATACGGAAATATGTTACATGGCAGCTCACGTGTATTTCTTTGATAGCTAGTGAAGTTGTATATTACTCTAGAAGCCAAGCTTATTCTCTAAAGCTGCCTTCTGGCGATGTTGTTACTTTCATCTTCTGTAAAAGGATGATCTTTTCTGGTTTCTCCTAGGTCTTCCTCCTCCAAGAGGTCTCAGTCTCTTACCAAAAAGTCAGACCACTCTAAATTTGACCTGGCAACCAATACCTCCAAACTCTTCTAAAGAGGACTTTTATGTTGAAGTAGAGAGGAGGTCTGTGCAAATGAATAGTGATCAGCAGAATATTAAAGTGCCAGGCAACTTGACTTCAGTGCTACTTAACAATTTACACCCCCGGGAGCAGTATGTAGTCCGAGCCAGAGTCAACACCAACGCCCAAGGGGAATGGAGTGAAGATGTCACAGCCTGGACCCTTAGTGACAGTAAGTATAAGTAACGTGGGCTGCCCCAGCCTTGCTTGAATGACATTTGGACTCTGCCATTTGGCCTTAGCTGCCATCACTTCAAGACTGTTATTTAAGAAATGATAAAAGGCATCTGGTTGTGAGTAGAAGTTGATAGTGTCAGACGCACACACCAAATTGTTTTAATAACCTGCAATATAGAAGAAAGCTCCCTGTATTGGAATTTGCAACAATTCAGACCCCTTTCCTAGAGATGGAGATATTTAAAGAGTAAATAAATAACATGAACAAGATTTATTAAGTAAATTAATAATATGAATTAGTTTTTCTAGGGCTTGTGCATTATCAGTACTGTTGGATATCTATACCCACAGATGGTGATAAATTACAAATGGCCTTTTCTAATCTTAAAAGCATGTAATTTTGCTTGGAAAAAAATCCTCATAACAGACAATTCTTAGAGTTACAATATATATTGGAAAGAAGTAAAATCACTTCTTCAAACTATTCTGAAGTTCAGACTTTCTTTACTTCAGATTGATCGTTTAAAATTGTTCAAAACTTCTTGGATTTCTTCAGTTTTGAAAGCGATTTTCATCACAGAGTAGGTTTCATGCTGATTCCCTGTGTTTAGGGCCCTTAGGAACACTAGCTATTTCTTGGTCACACCAGTTAACACTTTTGTCAGGATCATGGGGTATGAGCCTCCAAAATGTGTGCTGCCCTTTGCAGCTGGCTTCAATTTTCTCAGTCAGAGTTGTAGACACTGGCTTAGTGCTGGGTAGTCTTTTCTTACTGATTTGGAAAAATTGTATAATTTGGATACTATTGTTGTTATATACATGGCAAATGCATTCTCCTATTTATTTTGTTTATAGTACATCATTTTTTTTCACCCTCCAGACAGTTTACATTTCAGTGTAATCAGACCTTTGTGATTTGTACTTTTTGTGTTTTGGAATTACTCCCTGCAACCAAGGTCATAAATACATTCTCTGTATTTTTTCCAGTAGTTATAGTATTTTGTTCTGAATGCGTAGGTCTTCAAGACATAGGGATGTTATTTGGGGTTCTGATATACACATTTTATTCTTTTTAACTTTAATCTTATTCATATACAGCAAACCAATAGTCCCAATGCCATCTAGTGACTCGTCATGCTTTCTGTGGCATATACCAAGTTCTCATAATTGGGTTTACATAATTTCCGGGCACTCTGTCCTCTTCCACTGATCTCTGTGTTTGTTCCCATACCAGTTCTAACTTGTTAAAATGGCTATAAGTTTATTAAATGTCTTGATAACTTCAGGATGAATATTTTTCTTTTCCAAAGTTGTCCAAATGTTCACTCACTGTTCTGTTTAACATTTATCCTCAGAATTAATACTCTCAAAATCACATGAGTATCAGACTTACAGAAGCAAATGAAAAGCAGGTAGTAGTCACTGTAGAGTAGACTCATCTTGGGAGGTTGTATGAAACATAGTGGGGGTGGAGGTGATGTTGGAGGTGATGATAGAGATGCTGAGACTGGCAGGGTAGGAGCTGGTCTCCACAGAGTGAGGAAGTGGGTCAAGGAGGATGAGAATGAGAAATTTCAGTCTTAAGTGATATGTTTGTTGCTATATTATATTGTCACTGGCTGATCATGATATAGGTTGTTCTGAAGTAGAATTAATGCTCCTAGTTAGAAATTTTATGTTGATGCCCAATCTAATAATTATACCTGGTAAGTGTAAAGACTACAATGAATTATATTTGGCTCCAAGCATATGTAAAATATATATATATATATATGTGTACAATTTGTTCTGCATGTGTATTTGTAGAGTAGCTCCTTGTGACACTTAGGATGATTTTTACGAGGAAAGTAGAGTAGTAATTATCATATTTAACAGATGAAAAATTTCAGATGCAAGGAAGGATAAGCAACTTAACCAAAATTATGAAGCTAGTAAATTGTGGGGTGAGGGCTATAATTTACCTTTAGATTCTGTTGCATTTATTTTTGCCAGACAATGCCATCCGCTTTCTCTTCGGATGGACAGCAAAATGCTCAAAGTAGTTCTTGAATAAATTCCTTCTGCAGTCACAGCCCACTCCTAAATTGCTTATCAGAAGAGCATTTCCTAAAGTGTCTTAGAATCTACTTTGCAGTCACCTGGGGAATCTGCTAACATGTAGATTATTAGTCTTGGACTCACAAAATCTAAATCAGTGATCCATCAAACTAGCCCAAAGGGTGACCTTTCGGCCATAAATCAATAAATTTGTATATGTAAATTCAAGATGTTTAGTTGGCACCAAAATTGTGTTCATTATTCTAGCAAGTGTTTTATGAGGCACTGCTTCCTTTTGTGACATTCCTAGGATACCACATGATTTTATATTTTCATAAAGATATACCAAAAAAGTCTAGTATTTAATGCAGAGGAAGTTAAGGCATGACATTAATTATGATTCTCGATTATTAACCACTTCTTAGACACAGAAAATCAAAATCAGATAGGTAAGATTCAAAATCTAATATTTAATTCTGATAAACTGCCAGTTACCTAAAGAGAATGATGTGGGGTGTCAACATCATGAAAGAAAAAATTAGAATAAAACTGCATCTTTGAACTTAAATTAGAAAGAAGGCACTTTAAGACATTTCTCAAAAAAAGACACTTTTTTTTTCCTGAAGATTTATTTATTTTATCCATACATACAAGAACCGGGGTACAGGCCAGATTTGCGGGAGGGTGAGAGGACTCACCAGAGACTTGGGGAGGGGGAACAGAACAGGCACACTGACGAAATACACTGCTGAGGGGAGCAGTGGGCGCAACAGGAGAGGTCTGCCGTGCCATGTGAGACACTTGCCAGTCGGCCAGGATCTAACCTGTGCCGCAGAGGCTGCGGACAGCTTCACAGCACTGCGCTCAACCGCCTGCACCACCAGGGGAGGCCCCACACAAAAAAGACACTTTTCTAAGGTTTTCTATGGTTCCAATTTGCATTTAAGTAGTAACCATGTTTGTTTTCAACCCAAAGAGCTTGTACTCAAATATACAGAGAACCCGCTGAAAAAAAATTAAGTGTAATACACAAACATATTTTAACTTATAGCACTTTTTTTATTATTAAGGTAATTCTGGTTTACAACACTATTTGTTTTAGACATACAGGCTCACACTTCAAATGTGTGTTACCCACTACCAAAACACCAACAACCCTTGACCACAATTCATCGGAAGCCCCCACCCTTTCCTGCCAGTCTCCCTCCCCTACTGATAACCTCCGGTCTGTTGTCAGAATCCAAAGGTTTGCTTGTTTGTTTTTTTTCTGTTTCTTTACTATGTTCTTTTATATTCTGCATTTGAGTGAAATCATTCGGTATTTGTTTTTTTTCCTTTCAACTTATTCACTTAGCACAGTCCCCTCCAGTTCCACCCAGGTTTTCACAAATGGCAAGATTCTAGAAGTAAAGCAGTAACTTTCCTGTGGAAAGACAGTGGTATGTGGAATGGAAAGGCTTGGGGCTACTGCTTGCTTACTGGGACTAGTACAAACCTTCATTTTTGATATGTTTTCTCATCTCTAAAATTTGTATAAAATTGAACTCTATACCTGCCTGTGTGATGATGAGACTCAAGAGAGCCTACATATGGAAGCACCTTGTAAACAACCTCAAAAATGTAGGATACAGTTGATATTAAAAGCAAGACCTGGAATTTTTCTTTTCCTTGGGTCAATTAGTTTTAGGCTTTATGGAGACAATAACTTCTCTTTCAGCCTGTATGCTTTATCAGAAGGGAGCTTGAGTAAGAGTAAAGGAGAATTGCACAAATCTCCTCTGCTTTGGCAAACCTCAAAGCATTTTCTCTCACCCTGTCTATACCCCTGAGAGTAATGTGGTCTTTCTTTTCCCTAGGCTCTTATAGCACTTTGTCTACTAGTGCTTAACATATTTTCTTATGTATACACTCACTTGCTGCTACTCCATAAAGCATTCAGGGTAAGGATGAACCACATAGGGTAAGACTATGGGCTATGGATCTGACTATCTCCTATACTCAATCGTATAGGTAATATTTCTATACTAACCATTTCTGGGCCTCAGTGGTAAGACTGTTTTATAGTAAGATTGTTATCAAGAGGAAATGAGTTATAGTCTGGAAGGGCCTATGTAAATGTCAACTCTAATCTTTTTCTGTAGTTTCCAGCATCAAGAAGTGTGTAATATAGGCCATTATTGGAATAACAATTTGACTCCTTAATTTAGTATAAGGATGGCAAATATGTGATATAGGTACTGCTATTTTCCCATTTTATGCTGTAAGTATACATGGAGCCCGCTACCAGTTGATTGGAAATATCTACGTCAACTGAATTAACTATTCAGTTTACAGGTTGACATTATCTCTCTCTCAAAAGCATAACAGTGTAAGACATGATAGTATGTTACATGAAATATGTTTTTTTTTTAATTTCTAGTTCTCCCCCCTCAACCAGAAAACATCAAGATTTCCAACATCACAGACTCCTCAGCCGTAATCTCATGGACAATCTTGGATGGCTATTCTATTTCTTCTGTTATCATCCGTTACAAGGTTCAGGGCAAGAGTGAAGACCAGCACATCGATGTGAAGATCAAGAATGCCACCATCACCCAGTATCAGCTTAAGGGTCTTGAGCCCGAAACAGCTTATCAGGTGGACATTTTTGCAGAGAACAACATAGGGTCGAGCAACCCAACCTTTTCTCATGAACTGACAACTCTTTCCAAATCTCAAGGTTGGTAGAGTGACAGGAGTTTATTTCTTTTTTTTAATTTTAAAGATTTTTTTTTAATTTTAAAGATTTATTTATTTAGGCATACAAGAGCTAGGGTACAGGCCAAAGGTGTGGGGGGGGGGTGAAAGGATTCACCAGAGACAGAGTGGGGAACAGAACAGACAGATTGACCAAAGTACACTGCTGAGTGGAGCAGCGGGCGAGTCAGGAAAGGTCTGTTGTGCCATGTGGGTATCTCCCTGGCTGGAATCAAACTTGTGCTGCAGTGGCTGCGGATAGCTTCATAGGTTGTGTCTTAACCTTTGTACCATCAGGGAGGCCCTAAGTAGAATTATTTCTGGAGAGCATTAGAAAAACCTCACTGTCTTAAGATTTTTCCACATCTTTGTGTCTAGTGATATCATTCATTTGTCCTAATGGGATTCACTATCTCCAGATAAGTCCTTAAAATGAAATGCCCCTGCGAAGCCTCCCCTATTGATCCATGTTCTGTTTTTATAAATTAATTATTATTTATTTATTTTTAAAGATTTACTTATGCATACAAGAGCTGGGGTACAGGCCAGAGGTGTGGGGAGGGGGTGAGAGGATTCACCAGAGACAGGGTGGGGAACAGAACAGGCAGATTGACCAAAGCACACTGCTGAGGGGAGCAGCGGGCGAGTCAGGAGAGGTCTGCCTCGCCATGTGGGTAGCTCCCTGGCCGGCCACGGTATCAAACTCATGCTGCAGAGGCTGCAGATAGCTTCATAGGTTGCATCTTAACCCCTTGCGCCACCAGGGAGGCCCCTCATCCATGCTCTATTTTTAAACCTTAGACTAAATTACTCTAATAGCACTCCCCATCCAGCTATCAGAGCTCTGAGGAATATAAATTTGAGTCTGTGGGAAAAGAAAAATGTGGAATCAACTTAGTGGAGGTGGAGTAGTGTGGGTGCTTCGGTGGGAGGTTCCAAGAACTGCACTGTAGCCTTTGTCCAGACTAGCTTCTCTTTGAGCTTGTATGACACTCTGCTATTCTAATTTTCTTCTACTTTTTAGATTCAGATTATTATGTCTCCACATCTGCCACTCACCCCCAGATTATTATGTTTCCACATCTGCCACTCACCCCCAGAGACAGTCAGCTCTTTGACACAGATAGAGACCTGTCAGAGGGCCACACAACAAGCCCAGTGTTTGTGATGGATAACCCCTGTTGAGTGTTAGTGAACAAGGGCCTGGGGTGAGTGGGGCAGCCCTCCCTTTGAAGCCTGTCTGAAATGGCACTTGCTAGTCCTGCATACTGTGCAGCAGTCACTTTCAAGGTTATTTTGAAAGAAGGATATTAATAGGATAGAGTGATTTTTGCAAATTTATAATTTCTAGTAGAGTCCATTTTTACAAAAACATCTTATAGGATGAAAAACTTTTTGGTACTTGTGAGGGTTACCTAGGGCTAAAGAAATAAAATCACATAAGCTATGTTATCAGTGCTGATTCTTTGGAATATTTTTGAAATGTCCAAGGAGTGATGAGTTTGCCAATTATATAGTTTAATAAATGCTTATTTTTATAATTACTTGTGTTTTGGTAAAATGTATACATTTTAAATCCAAGGTATAGTAATAGTATACAAAAAAAAAACTAAAAAGCTAATATGTACCAGAACAATAACCCATATCATTCTATTCCAGACAGCTTTGTAACATTTGCAGAGAGGGAAAGATAAGTCATCATAAAAAGAATACTAATAACAAGATAGCATCTTGCTCTCTATATTGTTTGCCATAAAAAGAAATTGAAATTTGTTTTATTTGAATTTAAATAAGGGGAAAAATGGGAGGGATATACCATAGTCGTTAATAGGTTATTTTGAGGGCCTCCCCTCTGGTGCAGCGGTTGAGCGCTGGGTTGCAAAGCTGCCCGCAGCCTCTGCAGTGCTGGTTCCATCCCCGGCTGCTCCCTGGCCACCGAAGGAGGGTCCTGCATGGCGCGCAGACCTCTCCTGCCGCCCGCTGCTCCCCTCAGCAGTGTATTTCGTCAGTCTGCCTGTTCTGTTCCCTGCTCTGGCTCTGGTGAATTCTCTCACCCGCCCGCGCTTCTGACTGTACCCAGTGCTTGTATAAATAAATAAATAAATAAATCTTTAAAAAAAAAAAAAAAGGTTATTTTGACTAGAACTCTAAATTTAATGGTTCTTCTCTCCCTCCCACCTTTCTTTCCCTTTTTCGTAGGCATTGTCAGGTTCCCCCCATCGGTTCTTAAAGCTGAAAATAAAAACACCTTATGTATTCTTAGCGCTGAGCATCACAGAACTTTAAAGCTTCTCTAGATGGAGAAATTGTACAGGGAGGTTCAGTCACTTTCCCAAAGCCCTATGTCTAGTCAGTCATTCTTGTTGCGTCAGCAACACCGCACTGATCCAGAAGCAGGAGTCGTGGAGCAGGCTGGAGGATGCAGGATGCTGGATGCTCTCAAAGAGCAAGATCCTGGCCTTTTTATTGATAGGAGAACAAAAAGATAAAGGTAGGTCAAATTGGAAATAGGATTATGTTATTTAGGGCTTTAGGGAGGGTGAGTTCACTGATCAGGTAAATCATAATCCTGACCCCTGCCCATGGTTCCACTCTTACTAGCAAGGCGTTCCACTGATCAGTCTCTGGGAAGCAAAGAACATCAGTCAACACCCCTCCTCAGGTGTTTCCGGTCATACCTGGTGATGTATACTTGTTGTCCCAGGATGATCCAGGGATGATCCAGCATCCTGCTCTTGTTTAACTTGAAAGGAGCCTTGTAGGGTCTGGTTAGCAGACCCCACATTCTCACTGTGATTTGATAATGTTCCTGTGCTTGGGCATCCACTGAGAAGTAACAGATGAACAAGTGACAACGGAGGTTAGCATGCTGCCATTTAAAAAGCACTTTTGCATATTGCCAAAAAAAAAAAAAATAGATCTTACAGCAAGTCCCTGAGTCAGACTCCTCTACACTGAGTTTCAGAAAATAAATGAGTAGCCCAAGGTCACTTCACAATTAGGTCGCAGAGCCGGGGCTGCCAGTGCATTCCCATTATACTGTGACCTCTCCCACAAATGGGGTTGGCGTATCTCTACCTACCCTAACCCTGCTGCTTCTCCTGTGTCCTGCACAGCGCCTGGGGACCTTGGAGGCGGGAAGATGCTGCTTATAGCCATCCTCGGCTCGGCGGGAATGACCTGCCTGACGGTGTTGCTGGCCTTTCTGATCATGTTGCAATTGAAGAGGGCCAACATCCAAAGGAGAATGGCCCAGGCCTTCCAAAACGTGGGTAGTGTCTCATCTTCTTACTTGTAAAGCAAATGTTTTCCTTAGGCAAGTCTCACCTTTATTTTTCCCATCGTGACTATATAATTTCTTGTGTGAGCAAGAATAATGTTGAGAGTAAAAAGGTTCTTAATAAATATCAGGCAGCTGAGTCTAAAATGGAACTATTGCCCCACCAAGACAAGACCTATGGTCATCCTAGTCGTAAGTCACCAAGAGTAATCTTACAATATAAAGAATTGGACATTTTTGGTAAAGGAAGAAATGAGGGTAATCAGACATTGGTGAAATGGATAATGATGTATGCATTAAGCACATTTCCCCCCAGTTTCCTATTTCCAGTTTTCCTATCAATCCCGTGTGTGTGTGTTTGTGTGTGTGTTCCCGTCCATATTCTGCATGCACGTGTATCTCCCATTCCTATATACCTTTCTGTCTGTAGTCATAGTTCATATACTTAGCACTGTCTCATTCCTTCATCTACAAATTTTGGCCAGCAGCAAAAATGTATAAAATCATACTATCCCACTGGAGTCATTCTGCAGGTGTCCTACAGGCCACATTGCTCTAATTTATGATACAACTAATTTGTAAAGTTGATTTGTATCCAAATTTATCAATTCTGACATAAAATTTAAGTGCATTACATGTTTCAAATAAACTATATGTTCATGTACATGAGCCCCAAAGTTCCCCTCTGTATAGGACAAGGGGAACTTCATTATTGGACTGACTTGGTTCAGGCTATCAGTGGAGAGGCGGTTGGGAGTGCTAGAGCTCATCTTGACACCGGTGCTTTGTCATTAAGTGTCAGCAGTCACTTAAACTCAGGACAAAGGGAGACACTCTGTGGGGCTATGCTCTAAGTCTTAGTCATCCTGGGATCAGAGTCTGTTCCAGAGTGGGTTTGAGAGATTAGAAGCTTTAGGACAAGCAGGAGAGAGTGAGTGTGAGCCAAGAATAGACGATGCTAGGAAAGTTCCTGCTCAGGTGTGTGCTGTGACTGCCCCAGAGAGGATCTCAGTTCTTTCCAAACCAGAAATAAACACCTGCTCATCCACAGCAGAGCAGAAACTCAACTGTGACTGAGAGATGTGTCGTGCTGTGGCACACGTGCTGATTCCCCCTTCCCATGGTCTCGGCAGACATTGCTAATTGATTGTAACTGCTTTCCCACTGAGACCTGGCACTATGACCCTGTGCCTCTATAGGCAACCAGTTCATTGGAGTGAGTCTGTTAGAAGAAACCTATTTTTATCTCTCTTCTAAAATCAGATACACCATTTCTCTTCTCAGCTGGTGTGGATACAAACAAGGGGAGGTATACACCTTAGAATTATGAAAAATCCTGACACAGAACCATGAAATATTTTTTTTTTCTCCAGAGGGAAGAACCAGCTGTGCAGTTCAACTCAGGAACTCTGGCCTTGAACAGGAAGGCCAAAAACAACCCAGATCCTACAATTTATCCAGTGCTTGACTGGAACGACATCAAATTTCAAGATGTGATTGGGGAGGGTAATTTTGGCCAGGTTCTCAAGGCCCGCATCAAGAAGGATGGGTTACGGATGGACGCTGCCATTAAGAGGATGAAAGGTCAGTTGCCTGGCCAGATGGAGTCAGCATTTCACCAGGGTTGGGAGAAAACTTGATTTCCTGTTGAATCTTTCCTCTGTGGTCTTAAATTCTTTTTTTTTTTTAATTTTTTTAAAGAATTATTTTATTATTTATAAAAGCACTGAGTACAGTCAGAAGCACGGAGGGTGAGAGAATTCACCCGAGCCAGAGCGGGGAGCAGAGCAGGCAGAAGGACCAAAGTACACTGCTGAGGGGAGCAGCAGGCGGCAGGAGAGGTCTGCGCGCCATGTGGGACCCTCGCTGGCGGCCGGGGATCAAACCGGCGCTGCAGAGGCTGCAGGCAGCTTTTCAGCCCAGCTCTCAACACTGCACCACCAGGGAGGCCCATGTGGTCTTACATTCTTTAAACAAAAAACTGGCATGATGCTAGAAAGAGCTGTTATGTGCAACTGAAGGTGATGTTTCCTTTGAGGTTGAGCCTGCGATAGGGTCAGAATGCACACATGAAGGTGTGAGCTGTTTAAACACCATGGGCTTAATTCCTGGGAGGTAAGAGTACAGAGCTCAGACATACGTTGCTGACTTTTGGGGGCACTTTTCTTGTAATGCAGTGGACTTCAAATTGAATGTGTATCAAAATCACATGGAAAACTCGTTGAAAAATCAACTGCTGAGCTGCAGATTCTAATTATGTTTCGGGCAGGGTCAGAGATTTTGCATTTCTAATTAGTTCCCAAGTGACACTGATGCTGAGGATTTAGAGATCACAGTTGGTGAGTCCTGCCTTCACAGATTATTTGCATTAAAATTCCTGGAGACATTGTTTAAAATGCATCTCCTTGGATTTCTCCCACCCCTAGTTTTACTGTATTCACTTTTCTGGGGTGACACCTGAGAATCTCTGTTCTTAACAAGTGGTCTCATTGATTCTCCTGAGAAAACCACTGATCTAAGGCCACAAGAATGAAATCTTTTCCAGTTGTGTTCATCTCAAGACTGTTTGGTACCTGCCCATTTAACGACACTGCATAAGAAACATCTGAGAAAGCAAAACACCTAGTTCCCTGACCATACTAGCTGGCTTCTTGTCTATGTGACACTCAACTTAGTCATAACTTGACTGTAGAGCTGCCCTGTTGCTCTTTCAGCACACAGACTTGGTGAGTGGTGTGTCAGGTCACGAATATAATTAATTGCTATTGTCTGGTGCTTTGTAATAAGGGCCCTTGTAGGTTGCAGATGGGGCTTCCTTTGTGTCTAATATTGAGCCAAAGATGAGAATTAACCCTAAATCTTACATAATCATCACTGCTTTCTGCATTGTTAAGAAGAGGTGTCAGGGGCCTCCCCTCGTGGTGCAGCACCAGTTCGATCCCTGGCCGCCAGCGAGGGTCCCACATGGCGCACAGACTTCTCCTGCCACCCGCTGCTCCCCTCAGCAGTGTACTTCGTCAGTCTGCCTGTTCTGCTCTCTGCTCTGGCTCTGGTGAATTCTCTCACCCTCCCGTGCTTCTGACTGTACCCAGTACTTATATAAATAAATAAATAAATCTTTAAAAAAAATTCCTTTAAAAAAATAAGAAAAAACAAAAAGCAAAAAAAAAAAAAAAAGGCATCAGTGTGAGAACACAAACAGAACAAAACATTACACTTAGAGATAGTAACACAATCCTTTTGTTTTGCTACCTTAGTCACAGGGAGTTGGGAGCATTGAGGCTATCAGGAGGAAAGAGGGTGCAGAAACTTATAAAGCCATTTTTTCTTGGGAGCTAACTTGAGTCTGGTTGTCATTTTCATGCCCATGTAAAGAGGTAACATAGCCTAACCAGGGCAGAAAATGTCTGATGTGAGTGATGCATCTAAAGGAGGGAAGTTACTGAAGGAAGGGAACAACCTCATTATAAAGAGCTTCATTTTTAAAATGCTCTCAAGGTATTGACGTGGACAGGGTACTTGACTTAGAATTGCCTGTTAGTCTCGTGGGAACCTTGGCCCACACAAAACATTCCCATGATTCCAAGCATGTTCAGGCCTTCCCACAGCCACCAGCAAGCTTCCTAATCCCTCCCATAACATTCCTTGCATATGAGCACACACTGTCACCAATTCAGGGCTGATAAGTTTGTGGTATGAACCAAATAACCTTTTCATCCTCGTTAGTGCCTGAGGGTTCTCCCTCTGATCAAAGTGCTAAGTGGAGAGGTTGAAAAGAATAGAAACAAATGCAACTCAGTTTTCTGACTACAAAGCAGCTGCTATAAAAATGTCATTGGAATTTGAAGTTTTTAGCAGGTCTGGTTATGAAAAGGCAGGTTAAAATTATTAAGGGAAGGTGTGTGCATTGTTGGTGATGTTTCTCTGAAACTGGTCTGTCCCTGGGCATTCTGTCTCTGAGTGGTAGGTTTTGGGAGAGAGAGCTGGGGTCTGAAAGTGGCAGCTGCACACTCTCTCCCAAATCTCTTCCCTGGTATTTGGGAGTTTAAAGAAGAAAACTTCATAGCAGGGCTTCTTAACTGGGGGTGATTTTGCCTTCAGGGGACCTCTGGAAATGTGTGGATGCATTTTTGGTTGGGCTACTCTTATTTACTTGCAGAGCTAGAGAAGGTATTAAATATCCTACTATCCACCGGACAGCCCCCAGCGACAAAGAAGTGTCGGTTCAAAGCATGCACAGCGCCGAGCACTCCGTGCAATTACAATATTCCTCCTCATCTCTGCTCTTTTCCAGACCTGATGGTGACTGAGAGCACTGAGGCCCTGGGAATTGGGAGAGGGCAATTGTTTCTTAATAGGTATAATGGGAAGGGTTGATGACTCTTGACTTTCTTCCCAGAATATGCCTCCAAAGATGATCACAGGGACTTCGCAGGAGAACTCGAGGTTCTTTGCAAACTTGGACACCACCCAAACATCATCAATCTCCTGGGAGCATGTGAACATCGTGGTAAGATGCTCTTTCCTGTTTTTGCTGCCAGATTTTTTGCCCTATTGAAAGAGGCACATTCCACATTGAAATTAGGAAAGATAATAATCTTTAAAAGGTTAGCTGGTTTTTAAGGTGCAGTTTCAACCTGAATGTCTAGTCTTCATTTGTAGATGATTGAGGTTTGGCATCTTTTTGGATGTAAGTGCCAAGGCTGGATCATTTGGCCTCTGATGTGGTTCAGCCATGACTGCCCAACAGTATCCACAGTTCCTGCCTACCCTCACCCTAGCTCCTCCAGAGGTTTTCTCAGCTCCCTGTCCCAGGTGGGTTGGGGGCACCCTCAGCATCAGAGTGAAATGCATTGGTTTGCTATTGCCTACCTGTTAATTTTTCTTGCATTGCCCCAAAACCCATATATGCATGTTTAAATGCACTAATACCAACAATCCACTGTTATGTGAAAGCACTTTGGTTGAAATAATAAGTGCTTTGTTTGAAATAATAAGTAACAATAATAAGTGTCTCTGACAGTGCCTTGTTTTTCTCTGAAACAAAATTACTGTACTGTCAAGTTGGTGTTTTCCAATTATCTTATGTTGTATGTGCTCTTAAAGTTCAACTGACATTATTAATGCAAATATTTTTGAATGCTTCCTATTACACATCACAATGTGTAATTAGCTGTGAATGAGCAGGTAACAAAAACTCTTTCATAGGTTTACCTTTGCATGCTCCCCGGGCTTGTAGTTTGAATCTGTGTTTAAACTTACTCATGGAAAAGTTTGCTCCCACAAAAAAGCTCCACGCGGTAATTATTTACAAACTTGACAACCTCTTGTTGACTTTGCAGCACAAACACCAACAATAGAAAAGAGACTACTTCCTTTTCCTCAATTTATTAAACTAAAAATACTGGTGCTTCAGACAATATATCATTCTGAGGTCTAATAAGGGTATAATTCTGAAAGTCAGATCATGTCCCTTAGGTTAAATAATGATGTAATGACATTTGTTTTTGAGTGATTTCTGAAAAAAGTAATCAGTGTGGGACAGCAGTAAATGAATGTTGGGGGGAAAAAGCACTGATAGTGGAAAAATATATTTTAAAATTTTGCTCTAGCATGACATTAGCACGTAGTTGGATGGCTCTTAAAATTTATAATTGTAAAGAAAGGGGCAAGAAAGCACATTCATTCCAGAATAGGTACAAAAGTGAGTGCCAGAAGAAATTTTGTTGCCAGATTTTCTATTTCTTAGAATAGCTTTAGAGTTCAAATTCACCTGACATTTTAATTTAAAAATTAATTTAAAATTTAAAAAATTAATTTATTTTAAAAATTAAAAAATTTTTAATTAAAAAATTCTACATTAGAAGAAAGACCACTTTATTTTTCTAGACATCAATATTTTTATCAAGACAGCTTTTATATTTTATAAAAAAGAATTTGGAATAAAAATAAGACAATGACCAGAATTTTTTCAAGGAACTGTTATTTTTTCCATAAAAGTTTATTTTCTAGTTTCTGTGAGCAAAAGGACATCCCACACTAGCATGGCTGACCATCAGCCGATCTCAGAAATTTCACAGCCACTGTTAAAGGGGTGCTCCTTCCCTTTCCCCACAGGCTACTTGTACCTCGCCATTGAGTATGCCCCCCATGGAAACCTCCTGGACTTCCTACGCAAGAGCCGCGTGCTGGAGACCGACCCGGCCTTTGCCATTGCCAACAGCACAGCGTCCACACTCTCCTCCCAGCAGCTGCTGCATTTTGCGGCAGATGTGGCCCGGGGCATGGACTACTTGAGTCAAAAACAGGTTTGTTCTGAGGACCTTGCTCTGGAGATCTAGCCACTGAAATGCTCTATTGTGAATGAGAGTTCAAATGTGCACCCTTTTCTCAAATTCTGTTACCTGGCCAATAGTTAACTGTAATTTGGGGAGTACAGCTTCACACCTCTGTGCACATGCTTTATTCACTCAGTTTGCACTTTTTTCTTTTTCTTCATTTTTTCAGTCACTCTCGAATTCCCTTTAACTGACTCCCTAACTTGAATCTCTGGTATATATTCCATCTTACATAGAAGTTAATGCCTAATATTGAGAATACATTTCTTTAGTGAATATCATATATATTTGAAGTACCTTAACATCCTTAGTTTTATTTGGTTCCAAGTAATGCACAATAGCCAAGGCCTTAAATTGTCAGTGAAAGGTTTTGGTTTTTTTTTAAGATTTATTTATTTATTTATACAAGCACTGGGTACAGTCAGAAGCTAGGGAGGGAGAGAAAATTCACCAGAGCGGGGAAAAGAACAGGCAGACTGACGAAATACACCACTGAGGGGAGCAGCAGGTGAGACAGGAGAGGTCTGCACACCATGTGGGGCCCTCTCGGGCCGTGTGGATGGAACCGGCACTGCAGAGCCTGAGGGCAGCTTCGTAGCCCAGTGCTCAACTGCTGTACCACCAGGGGAGGTCCCTGTCACTGAAAGGTTTAACAAGCTGTTTTCCCCTGAAGTGACTCTCCTAAGGCAACGTGGATCAGGTGGCAGGATTTGCTCAGGATTTTGGAGAGGAACTTGAAAGGGAATGGATTTGGGTGGCTTAAGACCCCTCTCTCTTCTTTAAAACCCCTATCTTCTCTATTTTCCAAAATTCTCCTTAGAGTGTATGCTAATGAAATCATGTGAGAAAGTAAATATGCTGAAAATACATAATTTTTGTTTTAATTTCAGTTTATCCATAGGGATCTGGCTGCCAGGAACATTTTAGTTGGTGAAAACTATGTAGCCAAAATAGCAGATTTTGGATTGTCCCGAGGTCAAGAAGTATATGTGAAAAAGACAATGGTAAGTTCAGCACAGACACTGATAACATCTCCTGATGTCACTTCTCCGAGAATACCATTGTTCTCTGGTGATTGAGGCATCTGACCGGGGATCCCAGTAGATACTGTCCTGGCCCAGCAAACATCCTCAGTTTTGATCTCTGAAATGAGATGAGAGGGCCCACGTAGACCAATGAAGAAACTCTGCCTCAGGTGGCCAGTAACTGACCGTGCAAGCCTAGCCAGGCAGAGGTCTGTGTTCATGCTCACCCCTATGCCTCTCACTCCAACACCTCTGGGGAGCAACCACCATCCCCTATCACACAGCGAATCTAACAGGTAACAGGTGTGTGACATACTTTCCAAAAATCAAGGAAAGAAAATGGTGGAGGGTGGCCCTAGAAGACAAGTTCATCTTCAAAACGCCAAGATTTCCCTCTTCACTGAAAGGTCTCTGCTCACTCTTCAAGCCCAAAGCAAATCCTCTTTGCTCTCTTTGCCCACTCTCCCAAAGAGTATTTTATCTTCAAGTCCCAGATCCTGCGGGAACCACATCATAGCTTCAGAAGAGAAAAGCTGTAGTCCTGCTTTTCTTGCTCACCCTGGAGTCATAACGCAACCTAGACACACAACAGCCCCGGGCACGAGTGCTGACCTGCCATCCCCTCTGCTTCCCTGATGGGTAGGCAAATGTGGGGCTGTGGGGGTGACAAGTCCCGTGGTCTCCCCTGTGTTCGGTGGGTCTCCCCCAATGTAGGGCTTTGCCCCACATTACTTGGGCTCAGCTTTCTCAGGATGACTCCAGTTTCATGACACGGGGGTTCTTTTCCTCTGCAAATTCCACATTCTCTCAGCAAGACTCAGATTTCTGCATTGACCCTCAAACTCTGGGTCCCTTTCTTTCCACTACACTTATTGTAGTTACTGACAAGATAACCTGGAAAAAATGTTCCAGAATATTTTGAAAAGGACTACCTCCACACCTTGATACAGTATTTAAAATATTTTTTTACTTATAACTTTCTTGCTTCCACAGGCATATGTAACTTCTCATAGTTCTAACAGTGAGCCAATCACTGGACCTTTCCACTCCCTTCTGTGATTAGGGCTGGAGGTGGGACCCTGGGAGTCCTGAATACCACCACACAGCCTGGCCCAAGGCACCCATCGACAACACTTTTGGAAGCCTTAGGAGCTTCCCTGAGGGCTGACTTGTCCCCTGAGCTTCAGACTCTGCCCCTCTCGCTGCAGACATGCCTCTTTTTTTTTTTTTTTTTTTTTTTTGGTGGGACCCTCACCGGTGGCCAGGGATCGAACTGGTGCTGCCGAGGCTGCAGGCAGCCTCCCAACCCAGCGCTCAACCACTGCACCACCAGGGGAGGCCCAGACATGCCTGTCTTAAAGCAGCACGTCCCACCACTCACCCATCTACTCTCGCTCTCCCTTCTCCTCATAGGTCACCTGGAATTCTCCCCTGTCTTTAATGGAGTCCCTTCCCTTCACTCCAGCATTTAATGGTTGTGGTGCCCTTAATGAAGGGTGGAGCCCCAAGACTTATGCAAATTATATATTGATAGAAGCTCTGCTCAATGTCCTGAGGCTAATGAGAGCTTGCTCGGCATTTCATAAAGGACAGGGATTGCTGCAGTGTGGGGAAGCTTATGGGGGATGCTTAGAGGAGCAGAGCGGAGGCCTCAACTCTGTCTCCTAATAACAGGGTCCAGTGATCTGTGGGAGGGAAGGGACAGCAGGAGGAAAGGCTGGAGAAAGGAAAAGACCTGGAGAGAATGGTGCAGTGTGGAGAGACACCACCAGAGGGCAGAGTGGCTACCTTCCCCGGCTGATTTTTTAAGTCAGAGATTTTCAAGTTTCATTTCATCTCAGAATCAATCATCTGGGAAAGTTTTCAGAAAATACAAATGCTGAGTTCTACCTCCTATAGGTTCTGCTCTAGTTTTTCTGGTAGTGTACTGCTTCAGTTTGTTGTTGTTGTTTGTTTTTTGAAATGCCGCAGGCATCAATACTGGTAGTGTTGTAAACTAATGCACAGGTAATGAACAATTGTAACAGGTGATGTGTGCCTAGGAAAGCACAGGTGTTATAGGACACTAAATGGAACCTGTGGGCAGTCATGGAGGGCTTCCTGGAGGCATAATTCCTGAATTTTATGGTTGATACTAGAAATGTGAAATGAATTGGGTGACCTGCAGGGGGTCACCCAGTAAAATCTCAGAGGCAAAGGAAAGTAGAAAATCTTTGGGGATTAAGTAATGTAATGTGGCTTGAGCATAATGCAGATAAGAGGGAGAATTAAAATTCAAGGTTGGAGGAAGAAGCAGGGATAAATCTTCTTGAAGAGTTTTGCTTCCTAGCGAAGGATCTGAGATCTTGGGACAATAGGAGCATTAGAGAATTCTAAGGATAGGAAGCATGTGGTTGAAGTTGCCATGTAGAGTGATCATCCTGATCGGATCTTTACAGAGTGAAACTAGGCAGGAAGTTCGGGAGGAGAGGTGGCTCTCGTCAGGCAGGACAGGAGGATGACCTAAACCAAGGTGATGTTAGCAGGACAGACAGAAGTGGACAGATAGAAGATAATCAAGAGAAAAATGAAAAAGTGGAGAAGGGAGTAAGTCGTTAGGGGTATGAGGCCAGAAGCTGGAAGGTAGGGAGTAAACAACAGCAAAGACAACACAAAATGTCTTTTAGACAACTTTTTGCATTCCTTAGCTGGGAAGAGGAAGAGCTAGACTAATAGGTGGGAGGTGGGCTGGGTGGGCCCACCCATGTGAAGGGATGGACGGTGCTTGTGTGGAGAACACTGAAGATGTAGCTGTGAGAAAGGATACAGGACAAAAATGCCATTTGGGATTTATGGCCAGTTTCAGAGTATCACCCACTTCACAATGCACTGGGAGAGGATTGTGCATTCCAGAACCATCCTTAGCTTCAGGGCGGGGCTGGTCTCATGGCAGGCTGCTGTGGGAGAATGCCTGCTCTGGTTTCAGGGGCTGCTGAGAAAGATCCTCTCAATACTCCTGCTTTTGCCTGCCCACAGGCCAATGCGGGTCATGCCACCATAGAGCTTTAACGCATCTCCGGTGAGGAAGGGTCCATTTTTTCACCTTGGGTCCTTATGATTCCTGGGGCGGGCCAATGAGAAGGAAGACTCAAATCCTAGTGAACTTGAGACTAGAAAAACTCAGAAATAAAAATTTCCAGTGTCTAGTCCTTATCTCATTTTCTCCAACCTGGACTCAGCAAGCCAAGAAATGGGAACCACCTGGAGGCAGTCAAAGACAGGCACCGAAAGGGTGCCTGAGTGGCCTTAGCCAATCATCAAACCTGATGAAAACTCACTGGGCAGAAGTTACTTCCTTCTCTGTTGATACAGACGCACACAGTGCACAGGCCTGAAAGGCTCTTCTCCTCCGTCCACCTGGTAACACCTACACATCTCACAGCGCCCCCCTGGCCACCTTCCCCACTCTGCCAGGCACACTTGGTCCCCTAAATACAAACATACACACCCAAATTTTTCTTTATATGAAACTGCTGTAGGTATCCCTTGAGGGAAGTAGGACTTACCCTATTTTCTTTGAATTCGCACACTCACGTGTGGGCGGGACATACACAATTCCTGTGTCTGCCGTACCCTGTGTCGTGGCAAGCTGGGAGCCTTGTGAGGGTCACCATCCTGCTTAAGTGACATTGACCTTCTTCTCTCCAGGGCAGGCTCCCCGTGCGCTGGATGGCAATCGAGTCGCTAAACTACAGCGTGTATACAACCAACAGTGATGTGTGAGTAGCCAATTAGAGTAGAATTCCCTCCCCCTCCCCCAGAAAAATACACACTTGAGAGGTTTTTAAAGAGAAGTATGACTATGACATCCATAAGCACAGGCAGTAAACTCACAGAATAAATGAAGTCACCAAGGGGATGGTTTTCAGGATGTAAAACGCTGGCAGTGACCCTCCTGTGACTTCATTGCCCCACAGGCCTCTGCGCACAGGACCTGGATCAAAGGAGGGGCCCAGAAGAGGTGCTGGGGTTCAGAGCTGGTGGGCACAGTGGGAAGGCCAGATGGGGCCTGCAGTGACAAGTCTCAGGCTGGCTGTCGGGGAAGAGCCAGCACTGAGAGTCAGGCAGCCTGCCTCACACCCCCTATTCTGAGGAGGAGACACTAAGACTCAGAGGGGTGAGGCAGGGGTCTGCTCACACCAGGGACTGGAGGGGCTGCAATGCCTGTATCTTCACTGTTGTTACCTCAGATCTCCTCTGCAAAACTTTGAGGTAGAAAGTGAGGACTCTGAGCAGATTACACTAAGAGGCCTCAAGAGGTTCAGTCACTTGTTCCAGTCATGGGAGTATTCAGTGTCAGAAATGGGATTTAACTCCGACCTGTCCAGCTTAGAATTTTTTTTCCTAAAGATTTATTTTATATATTAGCTGGGGTACAGGCCAGAGGGTGAGAGGATTCACCAGAGACAGAGCAGGGAGAAGAACAGGCAGACAGACTGAAATCACTGCTGAGGGGAGCAGCGGGCGAGCTAGGAGAGGTCTGCCACACCATGTGGGTATCTCCCTGGCCAGGCGGAATCAAACCCACTCTACAGAGGCGGCAGACAGCTTCACAGCACTGCACTCAACCCGCTGCTCCACCAGGGAGGCCCCAGCTTAGATTTTTATCTGCAGTCCAGGGTACCATCTCACATCCTCTAGCTAAAGAGAGTGGGACTCTGGCAAAGCTTACACTGTTTCTTTTATAAGCCTTCCACTGGGCTAAAGGGAGAGAAATGCGTGCCACATACAAGGCCCTATCTCAGGAAGCAGGAACTATGCATTTCTAAGAAAGGCTCAGTCAGCCTAGCTTTTGATGTACAAAATCCATCTGTTAGCTGATTATTGGCTTCCTGTCGCCCTTCTGCAGATGGTCCTATGGTGTGTTACTGTGGGAGATCGTTAGCTTAGGTGAGTATCCATATTTACCTACAAGGTAAGACTCTAGGCCTTGGGGATGGGCCCCTCACACTGTAATTCCATGGGTGCCATTTGAATGTGGTGCTATCAGACGTGACTTGGAAATAGCATACCTGGAAACTCCCGCAGTTCTATTTGCATGCTTCTCTTTTCAGAGGCCCCATATCTAGTGGCATGCTTAGTACTGAAGGACCTGGTAGCCATGCTGTTTGTGAGAGGTTAGTTATTTCTACCTGTGCAGAGATGTCATTGAACATCAATACAAAGTTACTTCTACACCGTTCAGATGGCATATTCAGCCACAAGAAGTCATATTTTGAAGGCCATTCCATATGTAAAAATGTGCATGCCAAAACCCAGAAAAATTTCACATACACTATGCTCCCAGTTTTGTAAATATTGCACATCCTAAAGACTAGAAGGATGACACAGATGGAGAATAAAAGTGATTATGTTTTTCATTTGTTTTGTATTTCCCAAGTTTTCTACCATAACCATGTGTTACCTCTGTTATTAGTATTGGGCAGTAACTGTTACAGATAAAATAGGAATTGATTACCATCACTATAGGCTTCTTTTAAGAAAAATATGCCTCTCACTGGCACGATTCTAGACTGAGAGAGGAGGGACAGCGCTGCAAGTTAGGGCCCCTGTGCTGGATCTCTCCACGGAAGCTGTAGCATAAGGCCGGTTCTGAGGGCCAGTGGGTTCGCCAGAGGCAGACTGGGTGCTCACTCTGCCCACCGTCTCCATCTTCACCCGGTCTCAGCTTTACAGCCGGAGAGCAGGACACTACGACCTTCCCCACTGCAGGGGCTTACAACACTGCTCCCTGTTTTCTAGGTGGCACCCCCTACTGTGGGATGACGTGTGCAGAACTCTATGAGAAGCTGCCCCAGGGGTACAGGCTGGAGAAGCCCCTAAATTGTGATGATGAAGTGTAAGTCACACCTTACTTTATGGGGCCCTTTGATCTTAGCTGGGTTCCTTCACAATTCTGAGACTCACTAATAGAGGAGTTATGTGGTATGTATCCATAGCCCTCTCTGTACGTACACACACACACAGCCCAAACAGCTGGAAGGTAGGGAGTAAGAGCTTTCCAGGCATAAACATCCAGGAGAAATTTTAGATGAGTTGTGGGAAGGTTGAAATATGGAAGCAACAGACACAGAAAAGAACTGAAATTTGTGATCCTGGCCATGAATAAATGTATGAAACCTTGAGACAAACCTTGGGGATAGAGATTTCAGAGCTGTCACTTAAGGAAGCTGGATTTTTCTTTGTAGAATCTTGCGTTCTGCAAGCCCTGTCTTCACTGCAGCACTATTTACAATAGTCAAGATATGGAAACAACCTAAATTTCCATCAGTGGCTGGATGAATAAAGGCCTGTGCGTACACACACGAGGGAATACTACTGAGCTCTAGAAATGAAACCTTGTTCTTTGTAACAACATGGATGGGCCCTGAGGGTATTATGCTAAACAAAAGTATCAAACAAAATCAGGCAAATACTGTCTTTTCACTGGTGGAAATATAAAAAAGCAAAGTGAGAGAATGAACAAAGCAGACTTAGATACAGAGAACACACTGGTGGTTACAGAGGGAAAGGAAGCTGGGGAATGGGGGAAACTGATAACTTCCATGGCGTTGGATGGAAACTAGACTTTTGGTGGTCACATTGTCATGTGTATGTTGTATACCTGAAGCTTCTATAATGTTATAAACCAGAGTTAACTTAAAAATTTATTTAAAACCTGGTTAAACAGGTTTTTGTTTTTGAATGGCAGGACTTCATGAAGCGTCTGTTGAGACTATGCTTATCCCTAAAAGGGAGCTGCTTATAAGGTGGCATTTTTGCAAATCACTGATTTTTTTTTTTGATTTATGAGAACGTTATTTATTTATTGTTAATGAAGAATCAATATTCTACATCCTTGCTGGTGTCTCGACAGTATAGTTTCCCCGCCCTCACCCCCAACCAGGTATAGTCACTGTAGCGCTTCCCCTGTTGAAGCACCAGTGGTCCTGCACCTTAGTCCATGTGTTCTCCTGCCCATCCCCCTATTTTCACCCCTTTCTCTCCCCCGCCCCCTCTGAAAATCCAAGGTCAAAAGTCAGTTTTCAAGGGTTGGTTTTAAAGTTTGACTTTGTTTGACCCTTTGTTTTTTCTTTTTTATTTAAATTTTATTTTTATATTCCCCATACAATTACAACCCCCTTATTTTGACCCCAATCTCTCCTTTCCCCGCCTCCCACCCCCCCCCATAGGGTGTCTCTGGTTCATAGTCGTTTGTTGATTTTGATATTTTCTTTCTTATAGTTATTCTTTTTCCTGGTCCCTTATTTAAGTTTTCTAGATTCCTGCTATGAGTGAGACCATCCGGTATTTTTCTTTTTCTTTCTGGCTTATTTCGCTGAGCATGATCCCTTCCAGCGCCATCCATGTTGCTGCAAATTGCATGTGTTTATCTTTTTTGAATGCTGAGTAATATTCCATGGTGTATATGTACCACATCTTCTTGATCCAGTCATCTATTTTTGGGCATTTGGGTTGTTTCCAGAGCTTAGCTATTGTTAACAGTGCTGCTATAAACATAGGGGTGCAGGTGCTCTTTGGAATTGATGTTTCTGTGTCCTTTGGGTAAATACCTAGGAGTAGAATTGCTGGATCATATGGAAGCTCTGTGCTTAGTAGGTCAAGAAATCTCCACACAGCTTTCCATAGTGGTTGGACCAGTTTGCACTCCCACCAACAGCAAACACTGATATTTTGAGAGATGTAGTTTTACAAGGGAAATGATGTCCTAGAAACATCATGCACTATAAAAATTGCTGAGACCAAGATTGTGTAGAAATGGTACCTGCAGTAGGCACTAGAGCTACTGGGAGAAGGGGCCTTGGCTAGGGAGGTGGGACCTGAACAGAGACTTCCTGAGCACTGTACCTGTGTCACCTGCTGGCTAAGCTTGATGATCATGTGTAGAATGGTGATGCTTGTTCCTCCTTTTCTGCACAATACAGAGCTGGCTGTGCCTAGTACTTAATAAGAGTTAATTCTTTGATGCTTTGTTTCCAAAGGTACGACCTCATGAGACAATGCTGGCGGGAAAAGCCTTATGAGAGACCCTCATTTGCCCAGATCCTGGTGTCCTTAAATAGGATGTTAGAAGAACGCAAGGTGAGGACTTGGGAATTGGAATTCCTCAGGTGCCTGGTGTAGTGAATAAAAGTAGTTGATGTAATTCAACATGTTCTTTTGAGTTTAGCCCTAGATACCACAGGGACATAAAAGATGTGGCCTCTGACTTGGAGGAAGTTACAGTTTGGGAGGAAATAAGATTTCTAGACAAGATACAGTTAAACATGGTAGAATAACCTATAGAGTTAGCCAAGTTGAGCAAGAAGGAGTCTTCTCAGTCATAGATCCTGACCCTTTTAATTTCATAGATGAAGAAACACTCAGAGGTGAAAGTGACCAAGGACACAGAGCAAGTAGAAAATAGGGTCTGGAATCCTATGCAAATGTCTAGAACGTAGTTATCTATATGGGTCTGGGGTTCAAATGACAAATCTAGGTTAGGGAGGTAGATTTTGAAAGCCATCAAAACCCTAGTGGTCATTAAATCAGAAGTGTGGGGAAGATAAATAGTGGACAAAGAAGGCTTAGAGAGCCAGACATGTCAAGAGGGACAAGAGACCATGAAAAACAGAAAGCAGCTCAGAGACCCAGGAAAGGGAGACCATGAACTCTTACTTGCAGCTGCATGTCAGCAAGAAAGTCATCGAATGCAAGAGGGATTGAGGGTAGAAAAGCACCACCACCACCCCTCCCCGAACCTAGTATTTGACCTGAAACAAGCCAAAAAAGCCAGAGTTTCTGGAACCGCCCGGCAAAAGCAGTTATTGAAGCCACCATGTTCTCTGAACCACTCTTGTCTTCTAGACCTACGTGAATACCACCCTTTATGAGAAGTTTACCTATGCAGGAATCGACTGCTCTGCTGAAGAAGCAGCCTAGAACAGTCCACCTTCATCTGTATACTCTGTTTTCCCTTCACTGGCCTGAAAGACCCTTCACGCGCTGATGCTGAGGAAGCAGAGAGACTCTGCCAAGAGATGTGACATAGGAGTGTACATATCTGTGTGTCTGTGACCTTCACCACAACCCCCCCCCCCCCTGGTGTGGATCTATAGTATCCTCTGACTCTGATAGGGCTGTATATACTGTTTTGAGTAAGAATGTGCTGAATCAGAATGTGTTTGTGGTTTCATATGTAATAATATATTTTTTTCTAAAAATGTGGACTTCACGGGAAGGTGTGAGAATACAATTACTAGAATGTGTATCATTATTCTAGATATTTTTATATTTACCTTTATATTGAATGTTATACAATGTTTTGCTGTGTAGAAGTAAAATATTGTTAATAAAATGATCCAGACACTATGGGTGAGAAAAGTGAAGCAAATGTATGAGTTCTAAGAGGATGCAGCTTACCCTGGAGAGACTGCAGAATCCAACTTCTGTAAAGAAATAGCCTTCTATCTCTAAATTTTCTCCTCACCTGTAAAAGCCACTCCAGTTTCAATGTATTTACAGAATCCACAATACTAAAATGTACAAGTCAACTTAAATTTCATTCCTTCAAAGCCTAAGAATCTTTAAAGTATAAATAAGTTTAATCCAAAAAATTATGGGATTTTTCTCTGGTAACATTGTGTGTATTTTAAGAAATAAAAACAGAAGTCCTAGAGTCCTATTTATAGACATGATATTTATCACACCAAATACACAGCCTGCACACTGTAAAACATTTTCGCTTTGATTCGTTGCGAGTTTATCATTTATCCTGCAGCACATGTGGCACTGAGATCATACAGTAAGTAAAGAAATGCCTTATATACCTACCTTTGTTCCAGGGGTGTGTCTCAGAAGTATTTCTAAATGCCTTTTAAGAGAAACTCATCAAATTATCAATTCCTAACTTGTCAATAATATATATAGAACAACTAGTAAGTATACTTTACCCCACAAGGTGTCTCAAGTTCACAAGATGGGAAACATCTCCGAGGAGTGTAATGTCTGGGTCATTTTCTTGCTCCGGGCAGGACACCCCTGCTAGCGTTCCACTGTGAACAGAGGATCTGGAGTTAGAATCCCTTCCAGTTGTATTGCAGTGTTAAATAGTTAGACATACTGCATAACATTGCCTATTCCTGCTGTCTAGTAACCTTATGTATTCAGAATTTATGACCAGGAAATTGAATTCAGTTATAGCTATTATAGAAAAAAACTTACTACATAAGAGCAGTTTGTTTTCCTGGAATAGTTGTTGCATTTCCTCTAACCTTGGTGGCATAAATTTAAAAAAATTATGTCAGTATGAAATTGTTTCACATCAAATGCATGACTTCAAAGTCAGCACATGGCTAAAAGTATTTGTGGCAGCAAGAAACAGATATTCAATGATAATTAAGATTTACGTGTCAATTGAAAATACCAAGGCTACCAACCAGAGGTATGTTTGCGGACATAACATCACCAACTGTCAGAAGGCAACTAATTTATTCTGACAGAGATATATTATTGGTTACTCTGAGTCATTCATACCATTGGCAAAGAAATGTTTGCTGTTCTGCAGCTTATTAGCAGCATTAATACTGAAGATGCATGGCCTCTGACTCAAAGCTTAATAGCCAAATTAAACAAAGGCAAATAGTTCCCCTAAGCCAATTTCCACACTATCAAAGAGAAATTAAGAAAAACTAGCCCTTCAAAGGGTTTAGACAGCAGGTTGGAAATAGAGTAGAACTTAATATGTTTAGGAGATCCATAGTATATATACTACTTCAAAAAATTGGTAAGTTATTATGCATTAAAATTGAGTAATAGAGCAGCAGTTAGAATCATGCTACACAACAGCTAAATGACCAAATCTTTTTGTTAACTGAGTTTGCTAAAAGTTTACATGTACTTCCATGATTTGTGAGGAAAAACTCTTCTATTTATATATAGGAGATCCAGAGAAAATTGTCAGTTTTGTGAGGTAAAGATGTTTAGGTATTTAGAGAGAAAAAGAAATGTAGGTGATGTGGGAAATGATCTTTGGGAAGCCTTGAACCTGTTACTTCACCTTGAAACATCTTCCTTTGTTCTCTAGTCAGCACAATGAGTTGAAAATTGAAACCAACTTAATTCTCCCCCCTCTTGCTCCAGTCACAACTTAATAAATCACCATGGAAATTTAGCCTTTAAAGTGTAATAACCAAACCTCAACAACACATTTTTTCTTCTCTTACCCACTTTGAAAGTGTCAAGAAAGTTCGCCATCGTAGACCAAGCTCTGCAGCTCGCAGCGGAGGCTAGAGGAGTCGTGGACATGGCAATGCAGAGAGTGAAGATGTTCCTGGGCACAGTGATTACTTCCTTCCCCTCAGGTCTTGCTCGACCTTCCTGAAGACCAGTTCCAGGCAGACAGTTGCATTTGCAATTGAATGGTGACCTTAAATAATACAGAATATAAAATAACACATTAGACGTAAGGCAATCATATAGGTAACATCTGTGTTACAGATGTCCTCAAAGCCCCGAGTTTCTGTTTATAACAAGATTTGCAGTAACCACTTACCAAATATAAAATGGCCTCTAATGTTTGCTCATAAATGCTTTACATGAATCTAGATTAACAAACATCTCCCTTTTTGCATGTAGCGGGTCCTCAGCTATGTTGTCACTATTTGCTGTGACTCAATGGCATGTTGGTCTCCACGTACCTATGTCTGGGAAGATGTTACAACAAAGTGGCAGGAATCCCTAAAGGACAGATCAAGCAAGAAACCAGAAATACAGAATGCTGGAAAAAGCATACTTCTCAAAACTAAAGAATTAGACAGATTTCATGGTTTTAGAAAGTAAATGAAATTTACCCAAGATGTAAAGCTTTCAGATCCAGTGAGGATAAACATCTGAATTTCAATGAAAAATCATACAATCAATACTTCTAAAATGATGTGTCTTTTTTTGTCTTGCTCTGAGAACACGATAGTATATAATATTTCGATTTTGCTTTCTAGGCTACTTTTTATTGTTGAGTGAAATATTTTATGTCCAGGGTTCAAGATTGTTTTTCATAGAGCACATTAAGAATTTTGTAATAAAATTTTATAGAATTGATACATGAATTTTTGAGATGACATAAAAACCCTCTGCGAGACACTATTAGTTAGTGGTTAGTAGACTGATGGGAGAATAAAGACTACAGGATAAAATCTGTATTTTATGATCAGACCAATGACATGGCCATTGGAGGATCCTTATCTTAAGTATCTCTAGAAACATACAGAACTGTAACAGAATTTAAACATACTCAAATTTAACTCTCTATTTAGAGGGTCTATATGGGCTTAACAGCATATGCAGAGTAACCTCCATGTAAAGCCAGAAACTAATAATTTGTACATGGCAATGCCTGTAGCAGGGTAGTTTAACCTTGGTTATATTTCATCAGAAAAGCAAAATGAAAAAATAAATATTGAGAGCAAGATCAATCATCTTCTGTAAAGCCAAGTGTCCACATAATGAATCTATTGAGTTTGAGCTACACACACACACACACACACCACACACACACACACACACACACACCTTTTACTAAGTGAGATAACCTATATTCAATCAATTCTAGGACGTTACTTGGCTTAATGAAAAGCACATAGGAAAAAAATTGCAGCACGTTTTAGAATGGAATTACATGTCCACACCTACAAAAATTTTATGCATGGGTTCAAAGATTAGGCAACTTGCCAAACAATTATCTGGTCACCAGTCTCAGTATAATTGCTGTTTGGGACAGTGGACTTTGGGGTTTTTCAAAATCCTGGGACAGAACCCATAGAAAAGAACCAATAGTAAGCCTTTTCGACAGCAGTTTTTAACCATGGACCTCATGATTTATTCAGTCAACTCAGACTTAAGAACTTGATATTAATCATAAGCGGGCTCTTACCTTCATCCTGAATAATTCTCTGCCAAGTCACTGGACTCAAGGGATCTTTTCTGAAGTCAGCCTAGCCGATGAGGAAACATAACTGTCGTGTCCACAACTAAAATATGGAGTAACTGTCAAATGAAAGAAAAACCCTATCAGAAGCTCTTGGCAATAAAATGAGGTAACTAGAAGCAGTGACTATGGTATGATAGCAAGTAGCAAAGCACAGTCACGTGTATCAGCCACTTACCACTTTGAATGGGTGGCCTCCCTACTGCAGAGTAGTGACATGATGCCCCATTTTCAGGCAAGGAGACTGAGGCTTTGAGAGATTGTGTAAACTTCGAGTACAAGGAAATCAAATCTAAGCAGTCTGACTGCCTCATTCTACTGTGAGAGCACCGCCAGGGGGCAGCATGAGTCAGAGTGTTTCTACCACTGGCTGTGGGTCTCCCACTTTGTGACTGGGTTGAGGGGGGAACATCTCTATTCAGCTCAAGTACCCTTCGCACTATTGCATTTCAGTGGGTTACTTGTCTGTCTCCTGGGAGGGAGCATGGGTAAGAACTTAGTCCCACCCAGCTCCAAATCCCCTGTGCTTACACACGAAGGTGCTGGGAAAACAGGATATATGATGGCGTAGATATGGGAGAAGGGTCAGATAACTTAGAGCCTAGAAAGTCAGTTTGGAGTCCTCACTAGGAGGGCTGGATTTTGAAAGGAGCATTGATGATTAGCCTCAGGACAAGAGTAATTTAAAGATTGATAGGGTGGTGTCCATTGAGATGTAAAGTTTTCAATGCCTTGTTCAATAAGCACTTGAATGTGTCAGCCACTGCTGAAGCATTGGTCCTGGCTTCAAGATATTGACTAAATCAAAGAAGGTGGGGTAGAAATAGAGAAAGATGGGAACATCCATGGTTTATCTGGATGGAAGAAACCCGAATACAAGGAATGAAGAAGCATGTGGTCTGAATTGTCTGGTGTGGGAGAAAATAAATGCTGGAAAAATGGTGACAAAGTTAGCGTGATAGGTGATATCTGCGAGGGGACATCACAGCTCTTCCCTGAGGAGTATTTCACAGAACACTGAGGTCCCTGCCTCTCTTTCCCTCTTTAATAGGGTGCAGACAAAGCACATCCCCGTCTCTTGTGTCACATGCACAAGCAACACTGCTATGTGAAACAAGCTTCTGTACTTTGGACACCAACTTTATAGAGAAAAGGCTGGCATACACCTATGAAAATTCAATGGCCTTACTTTATTCTTGCACTGAAGAACAACTAGCCCTTCTCTCCGGGAAGACAAGTCCTCAGGTGGCTGGAGCTAATCTCAGTAAAGGCTGCCAGCATTCTAGAGCTGTGCTGTGCAATGTGGTAAATGCGAATCACATGTGGCTTTTTAAATTTAAATAAAATTCATTTTCTCACTTGCATTAGTCCTATTTCAAGGGCTCAACACACACACATACATTGCTGGTGTCTACCATACTGAACGGTGGCAACACAGAACAAAAAGTTGTACTGGAGAGCACTGTTCTAGATCAGAGGTGCCCCCCAAATTGACACCAAATCAGAGGTGTCGGACTGTAAATATTCGGCTTGCATGTCATGTGGCCTCTACATGAGAGCAGTTATAGAATATGTGTAAATGAGTAGGCAAGTGGCCTCATCCCAACAAAAGTATTTGCAAATATAGGAGATCACATGGGCCAAAGAGTTCACATAACTGTTTTACAACACAGCAAGAAACAGACAATTTCAACACAGAGTATATATTCATGTCTATCTTGCCAAGCAAAGGAACATGATATGATTTTATACAGCCTACCCAATTAAATGTGAAAAAATATCTCCAAGCATGTAAATATCTCAAACTTAGTTGAATATTAAAGGTATCAATTAAATACTAAAGATATCAATTAAAGACAACGTGAAAACAGTGATTTTGATTTGATCATAACTGATGATGAACATTCTGATCCTAACTAGCCAAGTGATTTCTGCTACCTGATGTTGCTGCTGGTGTGTCCTGGCTGGACTATCAGCTTCGACATCCTTAGACCCATGTCTTCTAGGTTAGCACAAATCAAGCAACAATGACAACACAGTGATGACCAGTGTTGTAACACAGAGCTTTGTGAAAATTCTTTACCGAGTTGTAAGCTATGTCCAATTAGTACAGTGTCGGCGCTGAACTGGGCTCACAAGGTGGCGTGTACAACAGGGACTGACGTTTTAGTGTTCCTTGTCATCTCCCGCTGCACCAGAAAACCTACACCAAAAGGACATGCAAAGCAGCTAAGAATGTAGCTCAGTAGATTTCATCACATATAGTTAGGACACATTACTCAGCCAAGGTTGCAAACATTTGCTAAATAAAGCAGATTTTACTCACACGACTGCCAATTACCCCTAATAAAACTTATCACTTGGATCAATAACAAGTTTGTAGAGTTCATTTTGAACTCTGATCTCCATATAATCTGAGGGCTATTTTTACTGACAAGTAGTCTATTTGCTATTAAAATTAGACTAACGATGAAATGGGGGTGGCATGGAAACGCATATGGCATTCTAAGTGCCCTGGGTTTGAATTATACTATGACTGCCCACTTACTATATTTGATTTTCAGCAAGTTAACTTCTGGTCTTAGTATTCTCATCTGCAACGTAGGGGTAATCACCAACCTTACTGGTTTATTAGGATTCAATGAAACTGCATGCAGGAAAACAGACTACTTTGTGGCTTTCATGAAGCACATACTAAACAGATGTTCAGAAACATGGCTACTGATGTGCAATTTAGGAGAAAAGGAATGGACAAAAATACTGCAAAATATTTTCAGCTTACACTATGTGTTGATATTATTGTCTCCCACATAGGATGAAAGTGAGTCGACTCCATCATCCTGCTTATAAAATGTGATGCACAGTTAAGTAAATATTCAAATTAGGGGGAAATTATTATAGATGGAGTACTAGGATCCCTTCTAAAATATTTTTAAAAGAATGCAATGAGGGGCCTCACTGGTGGCACAGGTGGTTGAGCTCCACATGGTGAGGTTGTCCATGACCTCTGCAGCTCGTGTTTGATCCCGGCCGGCCGGGGAGCAATCCACATGGCACAGCAGACCTCTCCTGTCTCACCCGCTGCTCCCCTCGGCAGTGTATTTCGTCAGTCTGCCTGTTCTGTTCCCCGCTCTGTCTCTGGTGGTGAATCCTCTCACCCTCCCGCATATCTGGCCTGTATGCTGGTTCTTGCATAAATAAAATCTTTTTTTAAGAAAAAAAGAATGCAATGAATTGAACGTGTTTAAGGTTTGTTTTTGAAGAGTCAAAGTTTATTTTATTTTAAATGCAAGTTCTTCAGTTATTACTTTGGCACTATGAATTTTATAGAATTACCAAAATACTTTCTGATTTGTTCCAGATCAGTTATGAGTTAGGGAAGATCCTTAACTCATGAAAAATAAGAAACAATACAAGTACAATAACCTTAAGTACATTACAATTACATTTGTCAATTATACCTCAGTAAAACTGAAAAAAAGAATACAACAGAGGGGACTAGGAGAATAATGACAAAATGAGGAGGATAAAAACCAAATAGAATTGGAGGAGAGATTAAATACAAAAAAAACACTTTCTGATAGCTACTTTTTTTTTTAGTTTCTATGCATACAACCATTTCTACGAACTGTGAGGAAATCCAGGTTAAAAATTGCTTGTTAACAGAATTCTCTATAATTATTCTCAATATTTATCATCAAAATATCTCTTCTGCCCATTTTTTGACGGGATTATTTTGTTTTTGTTGAGTCTCATCAGCTCTTTGCAGATTTTTGTGATCAGTCCTTTATCATTAGTGTTGGGTGCAAAAATTTTCTCCCAGTTGGTGGGGTTTCTCTTTGTTTTTGTTATTGTCTCTTTTGCTGTGCAGAAGCTCTTTAATTTGATGTAGTCCCAGCTGTTTATCTTTGCCTTCACTATCACTGCTTTGGGTGAAAATACTCCAGTCAAACAATGGGCAGAAGAGCTAAAAAGAAACTTCTCTGAAGAGGAAATGCAAATGGCCAACAGGCATATGAAAAAATGTTCAACATCACTTGTAATCAGGGAAATGCAAAGCAAAACTACATTTGAAAGCACTTAAGTTAAAACTTCACATGGGCCTCCCCGGTGGCGCAGCGGTTGAGCGCTGGGTTGCGAAGCTGCCCGCGGCCTCTGCGGCGCCGGTTCGATCCCCGGCTGCTCCCCGG